GAGAGCGAGCACGCCAGGGAGTAGCCTTTTATTGGGGAACAAGAAATTCAGGGGATAATTCCATCCAATGAAGGTTGAGGGGGGGCCGCACTCCAAGGTCAGGGTCAGTGATTGGGCCCCCGGGGTCAGTGGTCAGTCACACCCCCACACGGACGGGTTCTCTCATCAGGAAAGGGCCGGGAAAATTCCGACACAGCCAGAAGCCTCAGACCCAAACTGGGAGTCACCCAGTCACGGGTGAGAATGGCTCCCCATAATCCCCCTTCAATAACAGAGAAAGATGGTGACTCTGGATTTGCAAAGTTTAAGGACCAGGCCTCAGATTGTAACAATATCCTCTAGGTACCTCAACGGTGTGAGGCCTGAACAGACAGTTGCATCCCTTGATCAGTTTATCTCTACTTAGAACAAGCAGAAAAGTTAATGCTGTAGAAATAGGGCAAGTGATAACAAAACAAAACAAAACAAAAAAAAAACCACAATGGAAATAAAATCCAAAAATGAATATACAAGAATTTATTTAGTTTTTCTTATTTGTTCTATTTTTAGGGATGATAACCTAATGATCAGCCACCAAAGATAAGAATAAATTCATGAGGACAATGATCTTTTCTCTGACCACAGTATATAGTATACAGAAGTACCTCTGATGCCCAATAAATATTTACTGAGTAAATGAATAAATGAACATTTTAGGAGAGTGGGAGTTAATTTCTGTGGTATTTACATCTTAGAACCAAAGATTCCAAGGACTATAAAGAATTCTTCTTAATGATTTCAACCTCAGGATAGGGTGGCTGTAAACATTATCTGATTTCCTGAAGACAACCAACATCTCTCTTGCCTTTAACTTATTCAAACAATAAAAGCTACAGACAACCCTTGCACTCCTACACAGAACTTCCTTTTCTCTGAAAACAGAGAGGAAGGCCTAAACTTAACCACAGAGGAGAAACTGCTACATGTTGACAGGTTTTTGATTTTTTTTTTTTTTTTTTTTTTGTACCAAGGATTGAACCCAGGGGCACTTAACCACTAAGCCACATCCCCAGCTCTTTTAATTTTTTTTTTTTTTTTTTTTTTTTTTGAGACAGGGTCTCATTAAGTTGCTTAGGGCTTTGCTAAGTTGCTGAGGCTGGTCTTGAATTCACAATCCTCCTGCCTCAACCTACCAACTTGCAGATTATACACCTGGCACATGATTTCTTAACATGAAACAAATTTCACAAGATATTTTTAAAGGGTAAGAAACAAAAGTAAAGATAAAAGATATGACAAGAGTTCCGGGAAAGGTTAAACAAATCTTAAAACAAAAAGAGTCACCATGTGTTAGAGGGTAGGGTTGTGGCTCAGTGGTAGAGCGTTTGCCTCTGATGTGTGAGGCACTGAGTTCAATCCTCAGCACCATACAAAAATAAATAAATAAAATAAAGGTATTAAAATAAAAGAGTTACCATGTGATCCAGTAATTTGTTAATATAATCTAAAAAAGTAAAAACATAGCTGGCTGCCATGGTGCCTGCCTGTAATCCTAGCTACTAGGTAAGGAGATTGAGGTAGGAGGACCCCAAGTTCAAGGCAAGACTATGCAATTTAGTGAGGCCCTGTCTCAAAATTAAAAATGAAAAGGCTGGGATATAGAGTGCTCTGGGTTCAATCCCCAGTACTACACACATACCCCCCCCCAAAAAAAAGAAGAAAACGGTAAAAACATGGCCGGGATGGTGGTGCAAGCCTGTAACCCCAGTTACTAGAAAAAGTGAGGCAGAATTGCAAGTTTCAGACCAGCCAGACAACGTCTCAACTTAGCCAGATTCTGTCTCAAAATTGAAATAAAAAAGAGCAGGGCCCAGCACGGTGTCTGGCTGGAGGCTAAGGCAGGAAGATCACAAGGTCAAAGCCAGCTTCATCAAATTAGCAAGGCCCTAAGCAATTTAGCAAGACCTTGTCTCAATAAATAAATAAATAATGATGATAATCAAGAATGAATACATATTGTACATAATGTATGATTCTATTTATATGAAATGCCCAGAACAGGCAAATCCATAGAAACAGAAAATAGTTTAGTTGACAGGCGCTGGTAAGAATAACAACTAGGGATATGGAATTTTTCAGGGGGTGGGGGTGGTGATTCTGGAATTAATCAATAATTAGTAATTTTGTAAACACACTAAAAGCCACTGAATTGAATGCTTTAAAACACGAATTTTATGGTATATAAATTATATCTCAACTGGAAAATATCAGGGACTGGAGGCATATCAGTGTAAAGTGCTTGCCTAGCCTGCACAAGGCTCTGGGTTTGATCCCTGGTATCACCCCCGCCCCCAACATCATTTGCCAAAAGTAAATAAAATCAGCAAGCAAAAAACTAAATACATCCCTTCCTTTCTGATCTTCTCATTCTTCCCCATGCAAACTCTTTGGCTAAAAAGCCATATATTTTATGTAGTTATTCTGAAAATGACTGGGACTCTAAAAATATCCTAACCACCAAACAAAACCAACTGCTTATTTTGATAATATTTTTGTAACACAGACCTTCCTTAAAACACAAGTTAACAGTGGACTTATTCTACAAACCCAAACACACACAATTGAATAGAATTAGCCTTTGTAACTGGCACTGGCACAAAACACATTCCAGTTGATAAAAGAGAACCATACTTAGCCTCCTTGTCAGAAGGCAATGTCATCAGAAGTCTGTTGATGGATGCTCCTTTAGTTTTTTTTCTGTCTCAGGCCCAAGACAATGGCTTTCAAAACGAAACAGAACAAAAAGGAAAACCATACTAAATAACACTAAATTATAGGAAAGTATGTCCTCTATTTAAATTATTGGATATACGGGCTGGGGATGTGGCTCAAGCGGTAGCGCGCTCGCCTGGCATGCGTGCGGCCCGGGTTCGATCCTCAGCACCACGTACAAACAAAGATGTTGTGTCCGCCGAGAACTAAAAATAAATATTAAAAAATTAAAAAAAATAAATTATTGGATATAAAATTTAAAAGAATATTGGTTTGGAAATTGAATACTAAACCATGAAGGATGGAGTCACACTAATTTTTTTTTTTTAAAGGATTTTTTTTTTTTTTAAAGAAAGAGGGGAGAGAGAGAGAGAGAGAGAGAATTTTTTTTTTAATATTTATTTTTCAGTTCTCGGCAGACACAACATCTTTGTTTGTATGTGGTGCTGAGGATCGAACCCGGGCCGCACGCATGGCAGGCGAGCGCGCTACCGCTTGAGCCACATCCCCAGCCCCACACTAATTTTTTTTAATGCATTCAATATCACATGAGAAGTTAATAAGTACCACTCCCAGGTGTTCACTCCCTTTATGTCTATTGATACTTAATTACTGATACTGTTAAAACAATTGTTATGCTCAGACATATTCTAACTGGCTGGCACATTAGTTGTATATTAAGAGGTATTTTAATATCTTTTTAAACAATGTCCTTGAATTAGAACCTTTACATCAAAATAGCAGAAAGAATAATGCAGATGTTTTCAAAGGAAAATCCAGAGAAGTGTATTCGAATGCCGTGAAAAAGTGTTCACCAAATCATACCTAGATTCTAGTCTCAGTTTTGCTACTAAAATGAAAATGATGTCTGGCCTACATCAGTTCTACAAGGACTTTAAAATACATAAAGCCCAAGGTATGTTGAGTATTCTTAGTGATGACAAGATCCAAAGACACTATGACAATAGTCTTCTAACATTTTCAGATTCTTTGCCACTAGGACTGACTAGCTTGACAATATCTATTAATAACAAATGAGACCTAGAAAAATTCAGATGGAATCCCACTCATTCAAAATGCATTTATGAAGCCCTTAGGTTATTAGTAGACTTAAAGAACTACTTGTCCAATCACACATAAGCAGTAGGTTATATCTTTTTTTCTGTGTATGTTTGAGGGTGTAGAGAAACCATGTGGCTTTCCTACAACTTTGATAATCTTTTCCCCTTGGAAAAGATAACTCCACCACTTGCAGGTATATTTAGCTTCTCCCTTGAGCACTCCTCTCTTTAAAATCTGTCCCTTGGCTTTTGTATATCCTCCTTCAAGCACTTCATTTTCCTTCCTCTGCCCTTCCAATTAACCTTATCCTTAAATTCTAAACTACCTAGAAAAGATGACTCCGATTTCTATGAAATGTATTCAAGATCATATGAGGCATTCAAACACTAACCCCATTCATTTAGTGTTAACGTTACAGTTTCTCTATCCCTACCTCTTCCCTTTCACTTTAGTCCTACGGTTCCAATATCCATTTTGTCTCCTCCCCCTTCAGCTCTCACCAGGTCATCACTGCCCCCGTTTTTTCTCAGGCTCTCTAAAATTAATCCCAAATAAAATCCCACCTCCCGATTCTGTTCAGTCATCACTACCCTTTGGATCCTCGGATTTTGCTTTGGTCCCTCACTCTCCCCAACCTCGGACGCCAATCCTATTCCCTCCCATCGCTGCCCCTCACGGTTTAGGGAACACTCCGCACAATTTCTTACGATTCCCCCAAACTTGGCTTCCCCTAAAACTTCCCCAATTCCCAGCGCCCCATTCTCAGACCTTTCGAGGTCCCTGTCCTTCTTCAGAGCTCTCCCCCTCTTTCTCCGGAGTTTTCGGACACTCCCACCATCCGGAGTCCTAGCCCACCGCTCGGCACCCCGCGACCTCCCGGGCCCACAGCGCCCCTTAGGGTGCGGCCCTCCGACCTGCCTCTGCGCCTCCCGCAGCCCCTGCAGCCGGTGGCTCAGCTCGCGCCGGTAGCTCTGCGCCGCCTCCACGTTCTCACGGGCCTCCTGCAGCAGCAGCTCCGGCTCCAGTTCCATGGTCCCTCTCATCAGGCCGCGCCGCAGGCGGCTGCAGGAGCGGGTTCCCGAGTGTGCCCCGCGCCGGCTGGAGGCCCGGGGCGGCCTCGCTCTGGCGGAAGCGCCACCACGCCCCGCCCTGCCATTCCAGTCCACGCCCCAAGTCGACTTTGATTGACAGCCGTACGGCGGCGCCCCCGGCGTAGGGCCTGCGGGTCCCAGTGTCTCCCACTTTGTGACTTTGCTGGCCTCGGCCCTGCGCCCTCGCCACGCTGTTGCTCAGTGTTTCCTCAGGAAATGTTTGGAGGCACGGCAAGACTAATAAGAGCGTTGTGCGGTGCTTTCCACATCTTATCTCTTTCTTATATCACTTACAGCCTTTATCTCCAGTGCACAGGGGAGGAAGCCGAGGGACAGAAAAGGGAATTATCTTTCCCAAGCTCAGCAGTTGAGACCAGAGCAGACGCCGCCGGAGCCTTGGCTTTTAAGTCGTCGCTGTTTTACGGGCCTGGTAAAATGAGACTCCTAGCCACGACCGGCGTTCTTGGAGGTTACTGCAACCCAGACACCACCGCCTAGGAGCTCATCATCTAAGAAGGGAACCAAGAGAGGCCTAAAGGATAACCAGCAATACAGCAATCCCGGAGCAAGTCTAAGAAGGGTGTTGGCAGTATTTTTCTGTAAGGGTCAAGTAATAAATATTTTGGGCTTGTCTGTTCATGACGTATCTGTTGCAGCGGAGTGAGTAAATGGGTGTGATCAAGTGCAATAAAAACTTATGGGCCCAGCGCAGTGGGGTGGCCTGTGCCTGTAGCTCTAGTTACTGGGACAATAAGGCAGAAGTATCGCTTGAGTCCAGGAGTTCAAAGCCAGCCTGGAAAACACAATGAGACCCAGTCTCTGGAGAAAAAAAAAAAAAAAAGACACTTAAGGACACTGAAATTTGAATATTACATAATTTTCACAAATCACAAAATAATTTTTGCATGCTCCCCCAACTATTTAAAAAGGTAAAAAATGATTCTTTGAAAAGCTATACAAAAACAGGCAACAGGTTGAATGTAGTCCTAGCGCCCATAGTGTGGGGGCTGCTAATCCAGAATGTCAGAGCTGAAAATTGCCTCATCCAGGACTCCCCCTGAGATAATTACTCTTTTTTGGTACCAGGGATGGGACCAAGGGGCGCTTAACTACTAAGCAACATCCTCAGCCCTTTTATTGTTTATTTAAATTTTTGATTTTTTAATTTTGCTGAGGCTGGCTTTGAATTTGCGATCCTCCTGCCTGGGATTACACCCATTTCAGACTACTTTCTTTTTTTTAATTTTTTAATATTTATATTTTAGTTTTCAGCGGACACAACATCTTTGTTTTGTATGTGGTGCTGGCACGCATGCCAGGCGAGCGCGCTACCGCTTGAGCCACATCCCCAGCCCTCAGACTACTTTCTTAAATTTTTGTGCCTCTCCTTTCTGTAGTATAAATTAAGAACCCACCAGGGTTGCGTTGAGGTCCCCCTTTCCCTTCTGGGAATTTCTTCAGATCCCATGCTGGTGACAATATTATGGTATTTAAAAAGCTGGGCGCCATGGTGCATGTCTGTAGTCACAGCGACTCAGGACTCAGGAGTTCAAAGCCAGCCTCCGCAATTTGGTGAGGTCCTAAGCAACTTAAGGAGACCATGTCTCAAGATAAAAAAAAAATAAGAAGGGTTGGGGATTGACTCAGTGGTTAAACTCACTTGGGTTCAATCTCAGGTACCAAAACAAACAAAACACTTGTAATGATTGATGGAAGTAGCTGCCTCTAGGACATAGGTCTGACATATGAATCAGAAATCAGTTATTTTGTACAGTGGATTTTTGTTGTTGTTGTTGTTTTTGGTGCCAGGGATTGCCGGCATTATTAACTTTTATATTTATTCAAGTAATGCCTGTTCTTGGTTAAAAATGTCAAAGAACATAACAAAACTTACTGTAGCCGGGTGCAATGGCGCTTGCCTGTAAATCTCAGTGGCTCAGGAGGCGGAGGTAGGAGGATCATGAGTTCAAAACCAGCCTCAGCAATTTACCGAGGCGCTAGGGAACTCGGTGAGACCCTATCTCTACATAAAATACAAAATAGGGCTGGGGATGTGACCCAGTGGCCGAGTGCCCCTGAGTTCAATCACCGGCATACCCACACACACACACATACACACACACAAAAAAAATTGAGTTAATAACAATTTGTAAAAGTAGGAGCTTCTTTGAGGTCCTACCTTGGAGCTCTCTCAATGAAACTGCACGTCAAGAGGGAAGAATAAAAGAAAAGGTTAATTGGGCTGGGGTTGTAGCTCTGTGGTAGTGCCGTCTGCCTAGCATGTGCTAAGCCTTGGGTTTGATCCTCAGCACCACATAAAAATAAATAAATAAAGATTAAAAAAAGGTTAATTAATAGTTAAAAACAGTTTACATAACCCGGTTCTTAAGTACCATGCTGTTGAAACTATGCACCTAAATAAAACTGTTTATTTGTGTAATTGCAATTTTAGGTAAAAAATAAATAAAAGTTTAAAGAATCCATGAAAATATTGCAGTTGCTGCATGAGATTACCCTCACAAGAAACCAGCGAACTATTGATATCCTACAGAAACTGAAAACATGCCAGATGAGGCAATAATTTTGTGTTTGTTTGCTGCTCCCAACAATGAAATCCATGAGAAAATGCCTCTAGAGTCCAGTTAGAGGTATAAAAATTTAGGACCCCCAAATGGACGAGTCTCCAGGTAGGACGCTACCAAGATATTAGCATTTTAGTCTATAATCAATTTACATTTAGGAATGCAATCAATTATTCAATTTTTCGTATTTTTCCCATTTTCACTTTTTAAAAAAGGGCTAGCTTAAAGTCTAAATTTTCATTCTGCCATTAACTGACTAGGTGACCTTAGTCAAATCATTAGTTTTTAATGGTGACACTGTGTTATACAACAGAAAAAGTCTGAATGTCCAAAACCTTGGCTGATTTTAAATTAAACAAAGCAATTGGCTCCGTCTTTTGCAGGTTTGTCAAGAGACGTATTTTGGCCCTCCTGTCTCACCATCCGCGTATGCTTCCAAAGCAGCCGTAAACTCCGCCCCCTACGCTCAGGACGGCGCGAAAACCCAATTGACAAGAACTCCCGCCGAAGCCCCGCGGCCCGATCTGTGTTCTGTTGGCTGTAGGCACCCGGGCTCAAGTCCTGGGCGCTCAGCCTGGAACTGCCGCCTCTGAGACGTCCTGCACTGCCGGCCGCGTCCCAGGGCCCTCGCTGCCCGCGCTTTGTCACCGCCTTTTTCCGCGTTTGTCTCGACGAAGCTGGGCCCAGTCTCCGCGCCCGTTTTGGGCGGGTGGGCGCGGTGGGCCCCTGAGACTGACTCGGCGGCCCAGCAATTCGCTCCTACCGGAGCCGGCCAGCTCCATGGCCTCCAGGCAGGCTGAGCCGGACCGCGCAAGGTCCTAGGAGCTGGGATTCGGGGAAGCAGGGAGCATGGTGGGGGTCCTGGCCATGGCGGCTGCTGCTGCTCCCCCTCCAGTGAAGGACTACGAGATTGAGGTGAGGTCAAGTTTCTGTCAAATTCTTTCCTTCATCTGTTGGGGATTGTAGGGTGGGGGTGGGAGGAGGGTGATCCTTGGTTTGCATACGGAATGGCAAAGGAGGGCCATGGTAAGGACCCACAGTTAGAACTTTGTGTGGGACAGTTGCCAACGTAGTGTCGTTTCTTAGAGTCGTAGTAAATACTGACAAACATTGGGATTGTGAGATATTTGTGGGGTCACTGCAATTCAGGATTTAAGAAGACATAGCCCATTCCCAGATCCTGAATTGTGGGTGGAACTTGAAGTTTTAGACTTGTGACATGTCACGGCAGGATCCTAGGGTCAGATTCTCAGTCGTGATCTGGAATTATAGGACTTAAGCTTTGAAAAAAAAAAAAATCAAGTAGTCAATACATCCACCTCATTTCGTAATTTCCATTTAGAATGTGACTCCTGGAATCAAATAAGGTACTTAATTTTAAAAAAATCAATTTCTTAAGGCTCCAGAGCCTTAGGAGTCCTAGCCCAGCATGCTGATGTTCTCCTGGATTCATCAAGTTTCAGTGAAATATACTCTGTAATCATAATGTTATTCTGCGCTGGAAGTAGAGGGTTAGCATTTTCAGGTATATAGTTGCTATATTTACACCTTTTCATCTCATACTGGCATTCTAATTCATGTATCTTGTTGCCTTGAAGTTAACTAAGACTCAACTCTGTTAAGTCCTAGCTCCAAGTTCCCTTAACTCTGACTCATTCAAGTAATGTCTAATTCATAATAAGTATGATGCTTGTATTTGCTAATTCAAGTGAATTACTCAGTTTGTCTCAGGTGTGAAGGACTTCTGGCACTGAATTACACAATTCTTGATTTTGTATGTTCAGTTTTATCACTCCGTTGCTTAACAGTTTGTGATTTTGGTACCCTGATTAGAAAGAGCCTATTTCATAATAATGATACTTTGTGTTTAATTGTAAGGTCTTTTATCCTATTTTGCTTAATATCAAGCTATAATGAGGTATTATTATCTCTATTCTACAAATGAAGGAAGGTTAAGAAGTAATTAAAAGTAGGTTAGAGTAAGTTCTGAAATTTTTTTCTGTGTGTGTGGGATTGAATCCATGGCCTCACCCATACTGCCTAAGTGCTATACCACTGAGCTACATCCCAAGTCCTTTTTATTTTTTATTTTGAGACAAGGTCTCCATAAATTGTCTAGGCTGGCATCAAATTTGTGATCCTCCTGTTTTAGCCTCCCAAGTAGCTGGGATTTATAGGAGTGTGCCACCAAACCCAGCTCCATCTTACATTTTAAAAATAAACAAAAAGTTGTAAGTGATTTGCTTAAGGTTCCGTTCCAGTTGATGTTGGGGTCAGCACTTGAACTTAGATCTTCCAGACTCAAGAGCCTATTCTATAGAGCCTCTGATACCATCTGAAAGTTACATAAATAATAATACCATTTTTTGAATACATTTACAATTTCATTTTAACATGTATAATTTAATCTGTCTTTAATTAATTTTGCCTCATATTTATCCAAATGTTGAGAAATTTGTCCCAACATGTTTCATTAACTGTTACTTTTTCCACTAATTTGAATGCTGTTGTTACCACATACAAGTTCTTAAATGTGAACTTAAGTCCTTAAGTCTATTGCTGGTTTTCTTTCTTTCTTTCTTTCTTTCTTTTTTTTTGGTACCAGGGATTGAACCCAGCGGCGCTTTACCACTAAGCCAAATCTCCAGCCCTTTTTAGTTTTTGAGATAGGGTCTGGCTAAGTTGCTTAGGACCTCACTAAGTTGGTGAGGCTGATTTTGAATTTGCTATCCTCCTGCCTTAGCCTCCTTAGTCCCTGGGATTATAGGGGTAAACCACCACGCCTGGCTGTATCTGGTTTTCTAATCTATTACATCACACTGCTTGCCTACTAATGCATGAGAAGTATGCTTTTAATCCTGAAGGCTTTATAATACAATTTAATTTTCTAGACATGCAAATCCCCCATTTATTACTTAGCTTTGAAAATTATTCTTGTTATTCTGGCAAATTTATTCTCACAAAATTAAGACAGATACATGGATAGAACATAGCTCAGTGATAAAGTGTTAAGTATTTGCTTAGCAATTTTAATGCTGGGGGTTCAATCCTCATCATTGTAAAAACAATATGTAACTTTTGGTAACCAATAAAATGATATGTTTCCTATTATAGAAGTTACTGATTTATTTATCTACTTATTTTCACCATTTTATTTGTGCATATATACTTGTTTAAAATCAGTGAATTTCTAGGGCCAGGTTCAAATAATTAATGGGCTTTTGAAGTAGCTTATCTACACCATCTATTTATTTATTTATTTATTTATTTATTTTGGTAACTCATGTTCCTCCTGCCTCAGCCTCCCAAGCCATTGGAAGTTTGTCTAGTCCTAAGGTATGCTGCAAACTTAGTCTGGAGTAAAGTGAGAAATGACATCTTTTCAAAGATACCATTTAGAAATTCTAACCTAAGCTGCATATGGTGTCACATGTTTATATTCCTAGAGACTTGTAAGACTGAGGCAGGATGATTGCAAGTTTCAGACCAGCCTCAACAATTTAGTGAGGCCCTAAGCAATTTAGTGAGATCCTGTCTCAAAATAAAAAATAAAAGGCTAGAGATGTGGCTCAGTGGTCAAGATGCACTGAAAGACTGCTATTAGGCAATAGAGAGCAGTATCAAGTCCCAATATATGTGATCCTCCACCTGCTGCCCCTAGGTATGGGGATTGAATCCAGGCTCAGACAGGCAGGCAAGCTCTTTACACTGAACTATATTCCCAGCCCCCTGCTTTTTATTTTTATTTTTTATTTTTTCAGTCCTGGGGATTAAATTCAGGGGCATTCTACCACTGAGCTACCTCCCTACCCTCTTGTTTCTTTTTGGTACTGGGGATTAAACTCAGGGGCACTTGACTACTGAGCCACATCCCCAGCCCTAATTTGTATTTTATTTAGAGATAGAGCCTCACTGAATTGCTTAGCTCCTCATATTTGCTGAGGCTGGCTTTAAACACTCTATCCTTCTGTCTCCTGAGCCGCTGGGATTACAGGTGGGCACCACTATACCCAGCCCTACTCCTTTTTATTTTTTGAGACAATGTCTCACTAAATTGTCAGGCTAACCTCAAACTTGTGATCCTCCTGTCTCAGCTTTTGAAGTAGCTAGTATCACAGGCATGTGATACCACATGCCCAACCTTAATTTTCAATATCATAACCAGAAAATTTAATCAACTTCCAGAAGCAGAAAGGATCAATATTTACTGGACCAGATGGGGTCGTACTTGTAATCCCAGCTACTTAGGAGACTGAGGCAAGAGGATAGTAGGTTCAAGGACAGCCTGGGTAATTTAACAAGACTCTGCCTTAAAATAAAAATTTAAAAGGGCTGGGGATGTAGCTCAGTGGCCTAACATGTGTGGGATCCTGGGTTTACACACGAAAAATTAAATTTCCTTGATAGTATCATCTGATTCATGACTTTCATTTTGAGCTTTATGCTTTCCTCACAACAGCTAGTGCCTCTCTGGATCTTCTTCAACCACACCTGGGCTCATTATAACCTTGGCTCAACTTACTTGGGTGCGTCCATTGTTGCTGACCACAAATGACTAATGTATGACTGACAAAAATATGACTATCCTTAGCTTAATCACCTTGATACCATGAGAGTAATAGCTAGTGCAGGAAGTAGGCAGTAACTGTTTTAGTATCAAAACACTGGAATTGGGCTGGGGTTGTAACTCAGTAGTAGAGCACTTGCCACTGGGTTCGATCCTCAGTACCACATAAAAATATTTAAATAAATAAAATAAAGGTATTGTGTCCATCTACAACTTAAAAAATTTAACTTAAAAAAAACCTGGAATTGTGGCAAGTGTTCTTTTGGTGATCTTTCAATGTAATTTCTACTTGATTTAGTAAATTTTGGGATTCTGGGCTTATTTGCTAAGTATCTGCATCTTAGCAGTAGTAAGATAATGTGTTTATTTAATTTTTATTTTTTGCAGTGCTGGGGATTAGACCTAGAGTCTTACATGTACTAAGCAAGTGTTCTACACTAAGCTACATCCCTAGCCCATGTGTTTATTTTTAACTAAAAAAGTAAAAGGGAATGCGATTGATAACTGTGTGGTCCCTACCATGTGTCAAACTTCACATATTTTTATATACCTATTACAAATTCTGTAAGGTGGTTATTGGTAATCAAAGGTTATAAACAGAGACTAAGAAACATTAATAATTTTTTCATAAGTATAGTAGCCTTGGTTTTGTTTCAGTATAAACTTTTTATTGAAGTATGATGTGTTTGTGTGTGTGTGTGTGTGTGTATGTGTGTATGCGAGCGCCTGCAAATTGACATGACACTGAGATTTGAATGTATTTTTAACTTTAAAGCAGAGTGGTACATATCTGTAAACCCAGTGGCTTGGAGGCCTAGGCAAGAAGATTGTGAGTTTGAAACCAGACTTAGCAATTTAGTGAGGCCCTAAGCCTCTTAGGGAGAGATCCTGTCTCTAATTAAAATATGAAGAGTTGAGAATGTGGCTCAGTGATTGCATGCCCTGGGTTCATTTATTTACCAAAAATAAATAAATAAATGAATAAAGCTTGTTTCTTTCTAATATATCATATTTTGCATCTAAAGGAGCCCCCCCATGCACAATCCAATTTCTCCTTTACTTTTATGGTATTAAGGATTAAACTCAGGGCTATATACCACTGAGCTACCTCTCTAGCCCTTTTTGTGTTGAGACAGGGTCTTGCTAAATTGCCTAGATTGGCCTCTAATTTGTGATCCTCCTTCCTCAGCCTCCTGAGTAGCCAGGATTATAGCCATGTGCCACCACACTCAGTTTTGGTCCAATTTTATTTTATTTTTCCTTTATCTTTTAGTACTTGGAATTGAACCCGGGGTGTTCTACTACTGGATTACACCTCTTTCCCTACTCCCATCCTTTTTTGGGGAGGTGTTGGAGGGGACTAGCAGTTGAACCCAGAGGCACTTTACCGCTAAGCTACATTCCTAGCCCATTTTATTTTTTATTTTTGAGGCAGGATCTCACTAAGCTACTTAGGGCCTCACTAAGTTGCTGAGGCTGGTCTTGAACTTGCATTCTTCCTGCCTAAGTCTCTTGAGTTGTTGGGATTACAGGTGTGTGGTCCCTTTTTAAATTTAATTTTATTATTATTGTTTTTTGTGTTACTGGTATTAATTGAGGGTCACTTTACCACTGAGCTACATCTCCATCCTTTTTTATTTTTTACTTTAAGACAATGTCTTGCTCAGTTGCGGAGGCTGCCCTCAAATTTACAATCCCTCTGCCTCAGCCTCTTGAATAGCTGGGATTACAAGCAAATGTCACTGTACCTGGTTTTATTTTGGGGTGGGATCTCACTAAGTTTCTAAGATTGGCCTATAATTTGTGATCCTTCTGTCTCAGCCTCCTTCTATCTCAAGTCTCCTGAGTCTCTGGGATTCCAGGCATGTATCACCATGTCCAGCCTTTGTTTTTGTTTTTAATTGTTAAAGCAGGGTCTTGCAAAATTGCCCAGGCTGGCCTTGAATTTGCAATCCTACTGTTTCATCATCCTGTTTAGCTGGAGTTATAGGCTGGGATTGTAGGCCTGTGCTACCAAACCCATTAATCCAATTTCTTTTTTCTTTTTCTTTTCTTTTTTTCTTTTTTTTGGTACTTGGGATTGAACCCAGGGTGCTGCATCACTGAGCTACATCTCCAGTCCTTTTTGTTTTTTATTTTGAGACAGTGTCTTGTTGTGTTGCATAGGGCCTCACTAAGTTGTTGAGCCTGACCTTGACCTTGCAATTCAACTGCCTCAGCCTTCCCATTTGCTGGGGTGACAGGGCATGTACTACCACACCTGGCTTCAGTTTCTTAAAATGTTAGAGACATGTTTAAAAGTTACACTTTGTTTTATTTTGCTTTAAATAAATACTTTTTTCTTGTTTTAAATTGCTAGCCATGCAAGAAGCGACGAAAAGATGATGACCGATCTTCCTGTAAAACAATTACAAAATATTTATCACCGATAGGGAAGACTGGAGACAGAGTTTTCTCTCCACCAAAATCTAGTAATATTATGGATTATTTTAGAAAGACTTCACCCACAAATGAGAAGACACACTCAGTGAAAGAGTGTAAGATAAAGTCATCTGCACCATTGCCTGTTGAGAATAACAAAGATTGTAAAAAACCTTTGGACACATTCTCAAATACAGTATTTAAGAAGAAAGTAAAGAGGGTTAATTTATCTCAACAGCTAAATAATATAAAAACTGAGAATGAATCTCCAATTGAAATTAACAGTGATGATAGCAAAGAAGACTGTAGTTTAAATAATGATTTTGTGGAAAATAGTGCTTCTGTTTTACTTTACAATAAACATGTGGAGGTTCTTGTAGAAAGTATTCATGATGTTGAAAGACAGTCAAATGCTATGACTTTCAAGAAAAATTCTAAGAAAGTGAATCCTAAACAAAGGATGACAAAAGGTGATTGTAAAAGGTTAGGAAAAAGGAAATACAGAGATGTAATAGATCTATCTGAAAGTTTACCCTTGGCAGAAGAACTAAATCTGCTTCAAAATAGTGATAAAGACAGCAAAGAGATAGTATCTTCCCTAACTAATGAAATTGAGAGTACTACAAATGAAGCAAACTCTAGTGATCATGTTACTGAAACAGCCCATTTAAATGATTGTACGATAACTGTCTCATATGAAGAATTTTTAAAAAGTCACAAGGAAAATAAAGTGGAACAGATACCAGACTCAACAATGTCAATTTGTTTACCTTCTGAAACTGTTGAGGAAATAGGCACAAGTGGTTATATAAGTGAATCAGAAAACTGTGAGATATCTCAGCTGATGCGCTTTAAGACAGTTACTGTCCTTGCACAAGTTCACCCCATTCCTCCAAAAAGGACAAAGAAAATACCCCCAATTTTCTTGAAACAAAAGAAATTTGAGATGGAAAATAGTCTTTCTGATCCTGAGAATGAACAGACAATTCAGAAAAGAAAATCTAATGTTGTTATACAGGAGGAAGAATTAGAATTGGCTGTGTTGGAAGCTGGAAGTTCTGAAGCTGTGAAACCAAAGTGTACCCTAGAAGAAAGGCAGCAGTTTATGAAAGCATTTAGGCAGCCAGCATCAGATGCAATTAAAAATGGTGTCAAAAAGTCTTCAGATAAGCAGAAAGACCTCAATGAAAAATATTTAAATGAAGAAGGACGAGATAATAATTCTAAGAAAATCATGGAAAATCTTAATATTCAAATGGTTTCAAATGGTAGTTCACAGTCACACGCTGATAGAAGAAGTTTTCCTATGGAGAAAAGTAAAATGCTAAAGAAAAAGAATAAGGAAACATTAGATACTGGGGCTACTACAGGTGAAAACCAAAAAGAAAATCAAAAGAAAGAAACAATTCTTTCCTTAAGAAATAAACAAAATCAGAATAGACTTAGAATGAGTTTGAGACACAAGAAATCAGAAATTTTCAAAAGCACTACATTACTTAACAGTGAAAATCTTGTTTGTGAAGGTATAGCAAATGATGACCCTCTAATGATTTCTTCTCTGTGTGACAAGAATAAATCATCAAGGAAAACCAGCACATCAATTAAAGAAAAGATTATATATCCTAAAGCTGAACCTGAAGACAGATTGGTAAATGTTTCCACACCTAAATCATCCAGACGATCTATAAGAAATAGCAGCACACCTACTACCATTAGAGGTCCTGATTATGAAGATGTACAAGACAATAGTCCAGTAAAGTTTTCTACTCCCAAAACAGCCAGTGTATCAGAAAAGCATAGCCTATACACAGCAGAATTACTAACAGTACCCTCTGATTCAGAGAGCCCTATTAGGTAAAGTTTTGTTTTTATTCCAACGTTCTAATATTCTGCATGCATTATTTGGGAATGAAAATACTACATATGTTGGAGGGCATTCTTTTTTCTTTCTGTTTTCCTTTGACCTGTCATCCCCTAGGGAGATATGGACAGATATATATATATATATATATATATTTCTTTTTAGTTATACATGACAGTAGAATGTATTTTGATATATCATGCATGTATGGAGTATAACTTCCCTTTTTGTGGTTGTACATGACTGTGGAGTTACACTGATTGTGTATTCATATATGAACATAGAAAATTTATATCTAATTCATTTTACTCTCTTTCCCATTCCCATTCCCTCTCCTTTCCTGTATTAGGGCATTATTTTTTCTAGAACACAGCTGATTTGTAAGAAGGCGAAAAGGATTTCAAAATGCTTTTTGTTTCTCACATGTAATTTATAATCAGTCATAATTTCAGAAAAGTTCTAGATGTATTTTAGATGAGTTTTAAACTCTTAATTGTCATAGTTGATAATCCCTGAAAAACTATGCTTCAAATATGTCTTCTGTTCATTTAGCAAATGAGATTAAAAATAAATCATGGAGTATTAACTTGTTGAATAAACGGACACATTTGTGAAGAAGTATATACTTGCATGCTGCTTCTGGATAAATTTAAGAATGATCCTAGAGGATAATTTTTTTTTTTTTGGTACCCAAGAGTGCTTTACCACTGAGCTACAGTCTCAGCCCTTTTTATTTTGAGACAGGATCTCAATAAGTTGCTTAGGGCCTTGCTAAGTTGTTGAGGCTGGCTTTGAACTTGTGATCCTCCTGCCTTAGCCTCCTGAGCCATTAGAAATAAGGGAGAGCACCACCATACCTGGCCTAAGGCTTATTATTTCTAAAGGAATTAACAAATAGTAAACTTTGGCTTCCCCCCAAAAAATTATGATTATGATTTTTATTATGATTATGATTGTTAGGTACCTGGGATTGAATCCAGGGCTGCTTTACCACTGAGCTATATCCTCAACCCTTTTTATTTTTTTGAGACATGGTCTTCCTAAGTTGCTTAGGTCCTCGCTAAGTTACTGAGACTCATCTTGAACTTGCAATCCTCCTGTCTCAGCCTCCCCTGTTACTGGATTACATGTGTGTGTCACCATACCCAGCAAGTTTGACTACTTTTGAATCAAATTGTTAAGAATTGTTTTTTTTTTCCTTCTGTATTATTATAATTAAGTCGAGAAATTGAAGTGTTACTTGGTTTATTCCTATATTTAACTGAGAATTTTACACGTTATAGTCATGAAAATGTTTCTAAATACTTCATCTTTTTTTCAGAATGAAATTTACCAGAATTAGTACTCCCAAAAAAACTAAGAAAAAATGTAATAAAAAGTCTAAGAAATCAGAGGCAACTGGTGGAGATTTTACTTCTCAAAATAGAAAGGTAATTAAAATATTGGAGTCCTATAAATGATAACTATTTCCTTTTTATGTTCTATGTATTATTTATTTATTTATAATTTTGTGGTACTGGGGTTTGATTCCATGGGTCAGGGCTCTGCCACTGTGCTATCTATCCCCAATCCTTTTAATTTTATTTTGAGATAGATTGTTCAGGCTGGCCTTGAATTTGCATCAGCCTCCTGAGTTGCTGGGTTTACAGCTGTGCACCACCACATTTGGCTCTTATTTTCTTTAAAAAAAAAAAAGCAAAAAACCCATGGTACTAAGTACTGTGGAGGTAATAAGCCAAAAGATTCATATTTCGTACATTGGTTAATTATGACCTTGTATTATTTTTCACTATTATCCCATTCCTCTAGATAATGCTTTAAGATATTAAAAACTCTTATTGTGAGATGAAAGCAGTTGAGAAAGAAAGTATAATTTCCTTAGAAAATACTTTCTTATTGACTTACATTCCAATTATTTTCCTTGTGGTTGCATATCTTCGTTTGTGCTGTTGCCACAAAATTACATATACTTTGGGGCTTAACCAACAGCAATTTATTTCTCACGGTTCTGGGAACTGGGATGTCCAAGATCAAGGTCCCAGCAGAGACCTAGTAACTTATGTGTAACGCTCTGCCATCTTCCTCAAATGGCAGAGAGCAAGCCAAGAGAGGGCTTTATCCTTATAACCAAATTACCTCTCAAAGGCCCTACCTCCTAATATTATCACACTGAAGGTTAGGATTTCTACATAGGATGCATTAAATCATACCTATAGGTCATAACTGTATTTCTATTTTATATCTATAATTTAGATTTTTTTTTTTTTTTTTTAGAGAGAGAGAATTTTAATATTTATTTTTTAGTTTTTGGCGGACACAACATCTTTGTATGTGGTACTGAGGATCGAACCCGGGCCGCATGCATGCCAGGCGAGAGCGCTACCGCTTGAGCCACATCCCCAGCCCTAATTTAGATTTTTTGAAACATGGTTCCTCAACCTAGATATTTGGGCTGGATAATTTTGTTGTGGAGAGCTATGCTATGCATTTATTATAGGATATTTAGCAGCAACCCTGGTCTCTACCTCTAAGAAACCAGTTACACTCCTACTCCTCTAGTGATGACAACCAAAAATGTCCACAAATATTGCTAAATATCAATTGCAGAGAGGAGAAAAATCACCTCCCTTGAAAAACAATTCCTCTAAAGAAATAGGTAGGAAATATATACACACACACACACAAACAGTTTAGTTGCTTCTGCAGAATAAAGCTGCTTGTCTGTCCCCACTGTGAGAGAATTGGATTGTATACCTATTAGTATAAATGCCTTTATACTAATAGTTAAATTTTCCTTAAACTTTATTCTTCTGTGCTTAGATTTTTGTGTGTGTGTGTGTGTGTGTGTGGTGCTGGAGTTTCCTCATTTCATGAACTAACAAGTTTCTTCATCTATACTATAAGGTTAAGTAATATTTACTTTTGGGGCTGGGGATGTGACTCAAGCGGTAGCGCGCTCGCCTGGCATGCGTGCGGCCCGGGTTCGATCCTCAGTACCACATACAAACAGAGATGTTGTGTCCGCCGAAAACTAAAAAATAAATATTAATAAATAAATAAATAAATAAGAAGCAGCAGAGGACAAAAAATATTTAAAAAAAATAATATTTACTTTATGAGATTAATAATGTGGGTACTAAGCACAATGCCTACAATGTGATAAGAAATCAAAAATGACAGTTGTTAAATAAAACCAAGAGATAGCAAGCTTTTGTAGCAGTTTTTAAAAGATTCTTCTTCTTTATATTGTGTACTTGTAGATGGACAAAACGTCTTTATTTATTATTATGTGGTGCTAAGGATTAAACCCAGAGCCTCACATGTGCTAAGGCAACCACTGTGCCACTGAGCTGTAGCCTCAGCTCCTAGCAGTAGTAGTTTTGACTCAAGGATTGTATCAGAATCACTTGGTGGCTTTTCTGGAACATGCACACATCGATTCACTCTGAAGACAATCCAATTCTCCCATAGTGGGGACAAGCAGCTTTTTTGCAGAAGCAACTATACTGTTCATATGTGGGGTGTGTGTGTGTGTGTGTGTGCGCACGCACGCATGTGTGCACACACACACGCACACACACATCTATATATATCTCCTACCTATTTCTTTAGAGGAATTGTTTTTCAAGGGAAGTGACTTTTTTCCTCCCTGCGATTGATATTTAGCAATGTCTGTGAACATTTTTTGTTGGCATCACTAGAGGAGTGGGAGTGCAACTGGTTTCTTAGAGAGAGAGACCAGGATTGCTGCTAAACATTCTATAATAAATGCATAGCACAGCTCTCCACAACAAAATTATCAGCCCAATGATGGTATAATAACTGTAAGTAGTTAGATGATCCTTACCCTGTTGGAAAGCACTCTAGATGCCAGCTGATTATACCACAGCTAACGGTTAAAAGTCTGAAGTCAACTTTATTGCATACATCATGTTCTTTTTTATTTAATTCTAAAGGACAACTTCCAACTTTAATTTTGGAAGTACTGGGCGTTGGTTTGTCCTATGTATTTCTTAGAATTGGGATTCAGTAAATCCAGCAAGACAAATCTTGTGAATGTGTCCAAATTGGGTCTGGATCAATTATTTTATTTCATAGTCTGTCAATGAACCTCTTAACAGAGGACTGTGATTTTTCTCAGAAGCCTTATCACTGTGTCCTAGCTTTAGGAGAAAAATCTTAATAATTTTCTGGGAGAAATGTATCATGTTTCTATGAAAATAAATAGTAAACTGGTTTTCCTAAGAGCACTAAAAGCTTGGTGTTTATCCATCTAGATAATACTAATAGTTAAATTTTCCTTAAACTTTTTAAAAAAAATATCTTTGTTTATTTATTTATTTTTATGTGGTGCTGAGGATCGAACCCAGGGCCTCACACAAGCTAGGCGAGTACTCTACCGCTGAGCCACAACCCCAGCCCCTTTCCTTAAACTTTATTCTTCTGTGATTAGATATATTCTGGGGGCGGGGGCTGGAGATTGAATCCAGGACCTTGTGCATGTGAGGCAAGCACTCTACCAAGTGAGCTATATCCCTGGCCCTAGATATATTCTTTTTAAAGGAATCACATAAAGTAAACTCTTTGGCATTTTGCTATATATATATGGTTTGTTTGTTTGTTTGGGGTACTGGGAATTAAACCCAGGGTTGTTTAACCACTGAGCCATATCCCCATCTCTTTTTATTTTTTGAGACAGGAGCTCACTGAGTTGCTTAGGGCCTCGCTAAATTGTGGGGTTGGCTTTGAACTCAATATCATCTTGTCTCAGCCTCCTGAGCCGCTGGGATAATAGGCATGCACCATCCACTCCTGTCCCCCACCCACTTTTTATTTTTATTTTGAAACAGGGTCTGGCTAAATGATTAAGACCTTGCTAAATTGCTGAAGTTAGTCTTGAACTTGCAGTCCTCCTGCCTCAATCCTTCAAGTTGCTGGGATTACAGGTGTGCATCACTGTGCCTGGCTTGTATATGTTTTTAATCCCAATGAAAAGATTCAAGGAATTCGGAATGGAGAAGCACATTCTCTGGAAGATAATATTTGAATGTACAAGGTCACATTATACATCAATGGCAGAGCCAAGATTGAAAGACAGATGTTATTCTTGGCTAGTACCATTTTACATATCATAATACCTTTTCAGCCTCACTCCAAAGGATCCAGCCTAAAATACTCTCTACTCCTAAACTCCTATGGCTTATTTTTTTATGTATCTAGTATGTATCATTCTCCCAGTCTGTCTTTCTGTGTTTCTTGTTTTCTGTGTATATATAAGATATATACATACACACAATAGCATATACTATGTTATTGCCAGTATGTTTTTACTTTCTTCCCTGCCATATAAAAGTTCCTAGAAGTCAAGGTTCATGTACTATGTTTTTTTCTTTTATGGTATCCAATTCAGAGCTTTGCATACAGTAGACTGAGTGACTATTTGTATTTGGAAACTATTTTACCTGATTTTGGTGACTAAAATAAAGGAATATATTGCCATGAAGATGATGAGAAAATAACCATCAATCCTAATCTATATTACAGACATGCTTCTAGGTGTTTTGCCTACAAGTAAATCTTTATCAAGATAATTTCAAATAGGAAAAGTAAACTAATCATAACTACATACTTTTCATTTTAAGGTTCCTAGTAAGGTGTGATAACCATTTCTTTCTTGGTTATTTGATTTACAATTATATTTTCCTATTATTATATACTTTTTTCTATTATTAAATATAAATATTTGCCATGGCTAAATTAATATTTCAAATTTTTGTCTAGGCAAGCAAAACTCAAAAAAATATATCAAAAGCAAAACAATTGATCGAAAAAGCAAAAGCTTTACACATCTGTAGGTCAAAGGCTACTGAAGAAACAGTGATACCTTTAAGGCGTTCCTCTAGACATCAGAGGCTTCCTGAAGGAGAGAAACCACCAAAAACAGAAGTAAGTACTATAAATATCTATAGTATTAATTCTGTCCTATTTTGCTTGGAATGAGAGAAAGAAACTTTATAAGGTCATAGGTAGCATTATATGATAGCCTTGAAGTGGAAGACAGAATATCCTTTTCAGTTTTGCTTTAGAAGCCTTTGGCTTTCTTTTGCTTACAAAATACAACCTGAATCTTTCTCAAGTCAACTGAAAATCTTCCATACCTGAACCGGCTCTTCCCGTTTTTCGAAACAGTTCTTTACTCCAGTCACACTAAATTATTCATTTCTTCCTCAAGTGGTACAATTTTCACTGATTTCATTGTGTTTTTCTCATCTTGAGATACATATTCCAAGTATTCTTTTCTACCTGAGATTTCTTGCTCAGCCTTAAAGATTATGCTAAAGTGACACTATCTTCTTTTTTTTTTAAATAAAGCTTATTGAGATTAATTCACATACCATATAATTCACCATTTAAAGTGCGTAATTCAGTGCCTTATAGTATATTCACAGTTATACATTCATAATAATCAATTTTAGAGCACTTTTATTACCCCTAAAAGACATCCAGTCTCTCTTTGCTGTCAATTCCTAATCCTCCCATTCCCCCGCCCTTGCCAATACTAATCTGCTTTCTATTTCTATGAACTTGCGTATTCAAAACATTTCATGAAAACAGTATCATATAACATGTGGTCCTTTTTGTTCAGATTCTTTCATTAGTATATGTTAGAAAAATTCATCCATGTTGTAGCCTAAGTGTTCCTTTTTATTGCCAAATAATTTCCCTGAGTTTATACTATATTTTATTTACTCATTCACCATTTGGTGGACATTTGGGTTGTTTCTTTCTGGCTATTATAAATAATACTATGTAAATTCTACCACCTTTCTTTGAAAGCTGTGCTGATGCTTTTGAGACAAATAGCTTCCTTTCCTATATGTATTTTATTTTCATGGGTTTTTTGTTCTTTAGCAGATACTGCCCTCAACACCCTAAGTTAGAGCTAAACTATCTACTCATGTAGTAGTTCTCTCTCTCCTAATCCTTTTTGTAACATTTAAAGCAGACAATTGAGTATTATTTGTCTGTGTATTCCCAGAGCCTCCTATATTAACTCACATATAGTAGGTGTTCAATAAATATATGCTGACCACAGGAAAATAACAAACTTCGTATTAATTTCTAGGATGTATAGTTCTAAAAAGGATATGGCTAGAATTTTTATAGCTTGGCCATATTGATCCTTCTTTTTTGGAAAAGTGGCTTCTTTTAAAATGAAGTCCCATGGTCATATTAAAACTACTATTTGCTATCATATAAAGTTGTATGATGTAAACATATACTCCTATCATTCTATCATGTTTTTTCTTTTCAATCAAATAATGTCCGGTAGGAGATACATGGAGCTGCTAATTTAATTGCCAGATCTATGGTTTCTATCACTATAACCTTTTGTATATTTTAATGACATTGGTTGTATGATTTATAATAGCTCCCTTACCTGTGTTTGCTTTCAACGATTTCAGTTGTCTATGATCAATCATGGTCTGGAAATAATAAATAAAAAATTCCAGAAATAAGCAATTAGGGTCTGAGTGGCTTAATGAAATTTTGTGCTGTTCCACTCTGTCTGATCTAGGACAGTGCAGATCAGTATATCCATGTTCTACATACCACTTGCCCATTAATCATTTAGTAGTCATTTCAGTTATCAGATCATCTGAAGCAGTATTGTAGTGCTTGTGTTCAAGTACCCTTATTTTATTTAATAATGGCCCCAAAATGCAAGAGTAGGGAGGCTAGCAATTGAATATGTCAAAAAAGAGCCAAGCTTTTTTTTTTAAGTGAAAAGGTAAAAATAAGAAGGAATTTTTTTATCTGTAAAATTATGAAGAAGTAAAAAGAAATTCATTCTAGTTTTGCTCTCATATCTCAAGCTACAAAAATAACAGCAACAGTATGTGATAAGTTAAGTACGTATACAAAAGAAACCTAGTATATGTAGGGTTTGAACTGTCTGAGATTTTAGGCATCCACTGGAATTATTGGAATATATATCCCCTGTAAGGAGAAATACTGTATTTATTTTTTTTTTCTTATTTTATCTTAGGATGTTATAATAATAGATTCAAGTCCTACTTCTTTAAAGACATCAGAGAAAAATCAGAAGAAACTTCAGTGTTTGAACGATGTGCTAGGAAAAAAGCTTGACAAGTCTCCTAAAAATGTACCTGGTAATCAGATTTAATACCTTTTATAATGAATAGTAGAACCTTTGGGGAGATCATTCTGACTGTACTCACGATGGAAATTTAGTCTCTTTTGTAAAATGGATAATTTTAATTATATTATTATTTCCTTTTTAATAAGCAAAATTTTGATATAGTGAAGAGTCTTTCAGAGGGAAAATAGTCATATTTTTTTTTTCACTTTTTTTTTTTTGTTTGTTTGTTTGATACCAGGGATTGAACCCAGGGGCACTCAACCTCTGAGCCACATCCCCAGTTTTTTTTTTTTTTTTTTGTGTGTGTGTGTGTGTGTGTTAAAGACAGGATCTGGCTGAGTTGCTTAGGGCCTCTCTGAGTTGCTGAGGCTAACTTTGAACTCACTATTCTGCCTCAGCTTCCCCAAGCAGCTGGGATTACAAGTGTGCGCCACTGTGCCCAGCTTTGTTCACAATTTTAAGTTTGTCTGTAAGTATATTTTAACTTACTGCATCTCTATTATATTTATTTATTTAAGTTAGTGTTTCCCAAACTTAACTGATCATCAAAATTATCTGGTTAAGGGCTGGGGTTGTAACTCAGGGGAACAGCACTTGCCTAGTATGTGTGAGGAACCTCAGCACCACATAAAAAATAAATAAATAAATAAATAAATAAAATGAAGGTACTGTGTCCATCAACAAGTAAAAATATTTTTTAAAAATTATCTGGTTAAATCAAAACTTTTATTAATGCTTTAGATCTTTTCCTATTTATATTGAACAAGAATCTCTAGAGGTAGGTTGTGGGAATCTTTAGTTACAAATAAAAGCTTCCAAGGAGATTCCTATATTGCCATGTTGAAGGAATAGATCATTATATAGAAATTTTATAATTAACCAGGCGTGGTGATACACACCTATAATCCCAGCTACTTGGAAGGTTGACGAAGGAGGATCACATGTTTGAGGCCAGCCTGGGCAATTTAGTGAGACCCTGTATCAGTAAAAAATAACAAGGGTTTGGGATGCACCTCAGTGGTAGAGCACCCCTCAGTACCAGGGGGAATTTGTTTTTTAATTTTTAGAATTCTAAAAAGATATAATTTTGAAAGTAGCGGAAAATAAGTGGAGATTGTAAGCATTGATACTAACTGAAGTTTTTTTTTTTAAGGAAAAATGAAAGTTGCCCCTTTATTTATTGCCAGAAAGGTTCCAAAAACAGCTGATCCTGACTTTGGTTTGGAAGAGAGCAGGTAAGTCCAATGTAAGTTTTAAAATACCAAAATATTTTATGGAATACATTTTGTATTTATTCATTTATTTTGGTGAGAAAGCATGTGTATTATCATTTGGAGCTTTACTAAGTCCATTTTAAAAGATGACACTAGAGCGGAGTCCGGCAGTAGCACATGTGTGTAATCCTAGCTGCTTGGGAGGCTGAAGCGGGGGATCGTGACTTCAAAACCAGCCTCAGCAACTTAGCAAGACCCTGTCTCAAAATAAAACATAAAAAGTGCTGGGGATGTGACTCAGTGGTAAATTGCCCCTGGGTTCAATCCCTAGTACCCTACCTCCAACCCCGAAAAAGATGACACTCCTGACAGTGCTACCACTGCTATGATCCTGATTATTTACAAATGCTTTGTGGTCATCTCTAGACATAAAATGAGAATAGTAAATAGTAAATAAACAAAACAAAAATATAAAAGAGTGATTATGAACGTTCTGTAAATATTTATATAGCTACTGTGTGCCATGCAGTATTTTTGGCACTAGGTATATTCTGGGGAAGAAGACAGAATCCCCCTGTCCTCATGAGGATTATAGACTAAATAAAAGATTGTTTAGGGCTGGGGATGTGGCTCAAGCGGTAGCGCGCTCGCCTGCCATGCGCGCGGCCAGGGTTCAACCCTCAGCACCACATACAAACAAAGATGTTGTGTCTGCCGAAAACTAAAAAAAGATAAATATTAAAATTCTCTAAAAAAAATTAAATAAAAGATTGTTTCTATAATTAAATATTAGGTCAACAAATGAAAAATTGGCATTGTGCTAAAGAGAGGTACAAAATGCTATTAGAGTTTATATTAAGGAAGTTTGGTTTGATCAAGGAAGGCTTTGTACAGGAAATGATACCTGAACTGAAATCTAAAGGAATATCAGGAGTTCATCAGGGGGAGAAACAGTGTTCCAGCCAGAGAGAACAATCTGTGTCAAAGTACTTGTAGCTAGACGGAACATGGGAGTTTCCAAAGATTGAAATAATACCAGTGTGACTTGAACACAGAGAGCAAGGGTGGGAAGAATATGAGATTAAGCTGGAGAGGTGGGTGCTAGCCATTATAGGATCTTGGAGGCAGTCTAAAAGGATTTTGATTATACTAAGAACAAAAAGAAGTAGCCAAAGGGTTTTAAGCATAATACATATATAAGCAGAATTGGATTTTGGAAGTTTAATGTGCCTGCTGAATTAATCTAACAACTGCATAGAGAATAGAATGAGAGATTCAAGTTGTAATTTGCCAGCTTGGACAAATTAGTGAGACCCTGTCTCAAAATTTAAAAAAATAAAAAGGGCTGGGGGACTGGGGTTGTAGCTCAGTGGTAGAGCACTCACCTCTGATGCATGGGACCTTAGGTTTGATCCTCAGTACCACATAAAAATAAACAAATAAAAATAAAGATCTTGTGTCCATATACAACTAAAAAAATATTTTAAAAAAAGTGTTGGGGATGTAGTTTAGTAGTAGAGTACTCTTAGGTTCAATTCCCAATATGCAAGTAAATAAATAAACACGAAAAAAAAACAGAATATCATGATTCCAATATTTCTGTTGACTTTAAAAAATTGATTTAGAGATAATGATATTGAATTATCTGATCTGGGCACATAGTACATCTTTCTTAGTTTGAAATTTCTTTTGACTATGTGCTATAGTTTTCAGTGTAGAAATTTTGTACACATTTTGTTAAATGGATCTCTTAAGTATTTCATTATTTGATGTTATTGTAAATGATACTATTTTTTTATTTTCATCATAATGGTACTATTTTTTAATTTTCATCGTAAATGGTACATTTTTTATTTTCTAGTTGTTTATTTCTCTAATTTTAGATTTTTTGATACTGAGGACTGAACCCAGGGGTACTCTGCTAGTGGGCTACAGCCCTTTTTGTTTTTTATTTTGAGGTAGGGTCTCTCACTAAGTTGCCAAGGTTGGCCTTGAACTTAGGATACTTCTGCCTCAGCCTCCGAAATCCCTGGGATTACAGGTGTGCACCATTGCTCCTGGCTGTTTGTTTCTTTTTTTTTCTTTTTTTAATTACTATTAGTTGTTCAAAACATTACAAAGCTCTTGACATATCATATTTCATACATTTGATTCAAGTAGATTATGAACTCCCACTTTTACCCCGTATACAGATTGCAGAATCACATCCGTTACACATCCACATTTTTACATACTGCCATACTAGTGTCTGTTGTATTCTGCTGCCCTTCCTATCGTCTACTATCCCCCCTCCCCTCCCCTCCCATCTTCTCTCTCTACCCCATCTACTGTAATTCATTTCTCTCTCTTGTTTTTTTTCCCCTTTCCCCTCACTTCCTCTTACATGTAATTTTTTTAACAATGAGGGTCTCGTTCCATTTCCATGCAATTTCCCTTCTCTCTCCCTTTCCCTCCCACCTCTCGTCCCTGTTTAATGGTAATATTCTTCTCATGCTCTTCCTCCCTGCTCTGTTCTTAGTTGCCCTCCTTATATCAAAGAAGACATTTGGCATTTGTTTTTTAGGGATTGGCTAGCTTCACTTAGCATAATCTGCTCTAATGCCATCCATTTCCCTGCAAATGCCATGATTTTGTCATTTTTTAGTGCTGAGTAATACTCCATTGTGTATAAATGCCACATTTTTTTTATCCATTCATCTATTGAAGGGCATCTAGGTTGGTTCCACAGTCTAGCTATTGTGAACTGTTTGTTTCTTTATAGATAATTAATTCATCTTTATCCTGTATATCCTATAATCTGCCAATTCACTTAATTTCTTCTTTTTTTTCTTTTTGATACCAGGGATTAAACCCAGGGGCATGTAACCACTGAGCTACATCCCCAGCCCTTTTTGTATTTTATTTAGAGATAGGGTCTTGCTGAGTTACTTAGGGCCTTGCTAAATTGCTGAGGCTGGCTTTGAATTTGTGATTCTCCTGCTTCAGCGTCCCCAGCCATTGGGATTACAGGTGTGCATCACTGCGCTGGCTCAATTTCTTCTTCTTCTGTTTTTTTTAACCCAGCCCCAGTTTATTAGAAAAGGTGTGAACAAGGCTATATCAACAGGAGTGGCCCTTCCCAGCCCTTTATTCACTCTACCTGTACCCTGGTTGTTGTGCCTCCTAGGACACAGCTTCAAGTGGCCTGGGCAGCAGGGTCTCTAAAACCTACTCTACTCAATTAATTTAATTTCTTAATTTTTAAAGATTCTGGTTTTTGTTTTTTAAGTTCTGGGGATAGAACCCAGGGCCTCACACATGCTAGGCAAATGCCCTACCCCTGAACTATACCTCTAGCCCTTTAAAAAAATTTTTTTTTTGTGTGTGTGTGTATGTGATAAGGTCTCAGTTATCTAGGCTGATCTGGAACTTGTGATCCTCTTGTCTTGCCTTTCAGGTAACTAGGATTATAGGCATGTGCTACCACATTTGGCCTTTAATGTATATTTTGAAATGGTGGAGTTTTTTGTTTTGTGACTAGGATTGAACCCAGGGGTGCTTAACCACTGAGCCATATCCCCAGTCCCTTTTTTTTTTAATATTTATTTTTTTATAGTTGTACACAATAACTTTTTATTTTTATGTTTTTATGTGGTGCTGAGGATCGAACCCAGGGCCTTGCACAAGCAAGGCAAGCGCTCTACCTCTGAGCCATAACCTCAGCCCCTCCCCAGCCCTTTTGACTTTTAATTTTGAAATAGCATCTCGATAAATTGCTTGGGACCTCGATAAGTTGCTGAGGTTGGCCTCAAACTTAGATCCTCTTGCCCAGCCTTCCAAGTTTCTGGAATTAGAAGTGTATACCACTGAGCCAAGTCAGGACTTTTTAATTTAATGAGAGGTTTGATCTTGTTTAAAAGTCACAGAGGAGGATTAAGGAGAAGCTGAGCATATAGGAGAAATCTTTAGGGTTTGTTGGGACAATTACATGGAATCAGTTTCAAGTTATTTTAGAGGAATAAGCCTTGTGTTATAGAGAGCAACTTTCCTATTTTAAGAGGAGAGAGACAGGGCTGGGACTATGGCTATAGCTTAGTGGTAGTGTTTGCGTATCATGTGTGAGACACTGGGTTGGTCCTTGGCACCACATAAAATAAAATAAAGGTTATTGTGTCCACTTACAACTAAAAACAAAAAAATGACAGAGAGAGGATAGATTTGCTGAATTTCCTGATTATGTGTTTTTTACATAGGAAGATGAAGAAATTATATGTTATTATATGTTGTTTCCTCTCTAGTGTAAGATGAGATTGCTTGTTGAAGGTGAGGTGTAGGACTAGGCAGGGACTGAGTTCAAAGAGAATGAAGATTTGAAATAGTCTTTGTAGAGTAGGAGAGCAAGTGGAACAGAAAAATGTTATTGGGGGCCCTTTGAGCTGATATTGTGAATTCAATTTATGAGCCTAATTTTGTGACTATGGCTGCTCCACAAAAAGTAAGCTATTGCATTGAGTAGATTGTTGAGTGGTATTTAATGATGAAACATGGAATCCAAACTGGTTAAGGAGGGAAATTAATAAAGGAAAATGTCGATGGATGGGGGGAAATAGAGATGTTAATGAATTAGCAGCTACCAGGAGGTTGAAGAGCTTATGGTTGAAAAACTATAGATCAGCTCTAGCAGTCTGTTTTGCTTTTGTAATATCTTGATTGATTCTGTGCTTTTTAAAATAAAAAAAATTGGGGTGTGGAGCATGGTGGTATAGGCCTGTAATCCCAGCTGTTCTCCTATAATCCCAGCTACTTGGGAAGCTGAGGCAGGAGGATGCAAGTTCAAGGTCAGCCTCAGAAATTTAACAAGACTCTACCTGAAAACAAAAAGGGCTGTGTTGAGTAGGTCTGCAGTATAGTGTATGCCTAGTATGTTCAAGGCCCTGAGTTCAATCCTCAATACCCTCTTCCCACAAAAAAAAATTTTTGCCGAAGGACAGTCTGAAATGAGGAAAATAATTGCTTGAGTATACTGTTATTTTATCTGCATTTGCTTTACCTAGCGGAATTGTTTTCAGGAATCAGTTTTCTTATTTTGAACTATTTACTTTGATTTCTTAGAGTTATTCTTATGTTCATCAATCTGAGTACCATGAAAAAAATTTTTAAAATAATTTGTGTTGAAAAAAAACTTATGTTTAGGGGGTTGGGGTTATGGCTCAGCAGTAGAGCGTTCGCCTTGCACGTGAAAGGCCCTGGGTTCGATCCTCAACACCACATAAAAATAAATAAATAAATAAATAAATAAAATAAAGTTATTGTGTACAACTACAAAAAAAATTTAAAAAACCTTATGTTTAGGAAAAGCTGCCAGAATACTACAAAGATTCCCATAGCCCCCTCACCAAGATTTCCTATATCCTTGGCTGTTTTTATTAAGGAATGAAGATTTTACATGATATATGATGACCTTTACCCTGGTTTCATGTGATTTCCTCATGATTAGACTCAGCTTATACACTTGTCAGGATTACACAGACTAGTGCTCTGATCTTTTCAGCGCATCACAAAAAGAGGCACGTAAGGGGCTGGGGCTGTAGCTTAGTAGTAAAGCGGTTGCCTCATAGGTGTGATGCCCTGGGTTTTATCCTCAGCACCAGATATAAATAAACAAACAAACAAACAAATAGATTGTGTTCATCTACAAGTTATATATATATATATATATATATATATATATATATATATATATATATATATTTTTTTTTTAAAAAAAAAGGAGGCATGTGACATTCACCTGTCCCACTGATGGAATGTTAACCTTGATCAGTTGGGTATGTTTGTGTCTGCCAGACTTTTTCATCTTAAATTCCCCCCTTTCCTTTTGGATTACTTAATATTTTATGGACAAGCTTTATTTGTTTATTTTGTGGTACTGAGGATTGAACCTGGGGTTACTTTCTGACTACATCCCCAGCCTTTTTTATGTTTTATTTTGGGACAGGGTCTCCCTAAATTGCCCAACCTGGCCTTGAACTTGCAAACCTCCTGGGTTGCTGGGATTACAGGTATATGCCACCATGCCTGGGTATTTTTATTTTTTAACAGTATTCCACATGCAAGGCAAATGCTTTTAACACTGAGCTACATACCCAGCCCTTTTAAAACTTTTTATTTTGAGACAGGGTATTGCTAACTTGTCCAGGCTGGCCTTAAACATTTGATCAACCTTCCTTAGCTTCCTGAGTAGCTAGACCGACAGGTATCATGCCTGGTCAGCAAGTATTCTAAAATAATGCCAATAATTATTTTTCATCATACCTTCAGCTATTAGTCTTAACCAATTCTGAATTAATCACACTATGATGCCTACAAAATGGTGATTCTGCTTTGCAATCATTCTTTTGCTATGTGGTAGTTTGCTTTTGCATCTTATGTTTGTTTATTTGCTTATCTCATTACTGTTTTATTCAGTGGGCTATATCCTTTAATATTATTTATTTTCACGCTCAAATTGTTTTTTTTTTTTTTTTTTTGAGAGAGAGAATTTTAATATTTATTTTTTTAGTTTTCGGCAGACACAACATCTTTATTTGTATGTGGTGCTGAGGATCGAACCCGGGCCTCACGCATGCCAGGCGAGCGTGCTACCGCTTGAGCCACATCCCCAGCCCTCTCAAATTGTTTTTAATTTGGCCAATGTGAGCCTCTTGGCTTGGTTCCTATATCCCTTTGACATATCCTCATGATTTTTGAGCATATCTTACTTTTTTGAACAGGAAGATGTTCCAGGTTCATCTTTTACTTGCCTTGCTTTGTAGTCAGGTACTTTTCCAAGGAAACCTAGCTGCTTTTCATGGAGCATGGTTTTTAGAGACCAAGATCTGTGTGCTCATTGTGTTCATTGTTCCTGATGTGTCACTGCTTCTAGGCCGTCTCAGTAGATAAAACTTGGACATGCTTTATATATAAATACACATATATCTAGAAGAAGGAAGCGAGCATGCAGAACTCCATCCTGTCTGGGTCCTCTACCCTGACTGTAGGTGACTGCAGGGTAGGCACGCATTACCTTCACATTACCTTCAGCTCTCAGTCCTACAGAAAGGTTTGGAGGAACTAGGTCAATTTCGAGAGTCCTTAAAACTCTAATTTGTGATGTTTTAGCCAAGAAAATAAAAACAAAACATAATGAATTCCTGGGATAAAAAGTATGGCTATAGAGTGTGGAAATTCTTTGGGAGCTTGCCTTGAATGCCTTAGTACAGGGGTGCATTAGCAAACTCAGCCATAGAAACTTCAGTAAGCATCAGCTGGGGCCTCAGTATTGTGAATGCACTGTTCCCATTCTAGAATGCAAGATACTGTAGCCTATTTTGTGTGTGTGTGTGTGTGTGTGTGTGTGTGTGGTGCTAGGGCTACACATGCTCCACTTTATCTGGTGGTAGTGGTTAATCTAAAGGTGGGGAAGAATGCAGGGTGGTCCCCTAAATCTCTGATATGTTGAATTTTGTCCCCACAAAAGATAGATTAATGTTCTAATGCCCAGTACCTCAGAACATGTCCTCATTCAGAGATAGAATTCCTGCAGATGCAATTAATATGAGGCCCCTTAATCCAGTATGACTGCTGTCTATGTAAGAGGAAGACGGGAGACACAGAGACATGGACATGATGGGGGAAAGCCCTGAAATGATGGACTCTGAGACTGGAGTGAGGTATCTAAGCCAAGGAACACCAAAGGCTGCCCCAGAAGCTGTGAGAGACCAGAAGGCTTTTTCTGTATCTATTGAGATCACGTGATTTTGTCCTTGATTATGCCTATTACGTTTATTGATTTGTAAATGTTGAAACATCTTTGCATCCCTAAAATGAAACCAACTTGATTATGATGTTTAATCTTTTTAATGTGCTATTGAATTTGATCTGAAAGTGTTTGTTAAGGATTGTCACATCTTTGTTCATCAAGGATATTGTCCTGTAATTTTCGTTTCTTGATGTGTTTTACCCAGTTTTGATTTCATTGTAATACCAGTTTTGTATAATGAGTTTGGAGGCATTCCCTCCCTTTCTATTTCAAGTACTAATTAGATAATTGGCCTTAGTTGTTTTGGTATGTTTGTTTATTTATTGTATGGTACTGGGGATTGAACCCTTGGGTGCTCTATCACTTGAGTTACACCCCCAGCCCTTTTTATTTTGAGGGAGGGTCTCATTTAGTTCCCAGGCTGATATTGAACTTGCATTTCTCCTGCCTCAGCCTCCTGAATTGCTGGGGTCATAGATAATGTGCCACTTTGCCTGGTGTTGTTAAAAGATCTGGTAAAATTCAGCTGTGACTCTATTACGTCCTGGGTTTTCTCTGTTGGGAGGCTTTTATATATATATATATGGTTTTCAGTAGACACAACATCTTTATTTTATTTTATGTTTTTATGTGGTGCTGAGGATTGAACCCAGAGCCCCACGCATGCCAGGCGAGTCGCTACCGCTTGAGCCACATCCCCAGCCCACTTCATCTCTAATCTTATTAATTGAATTCTTCCCTCTGGATTTCTCAAGGGAGCATGACCCTCCCATCACATTGAGGACTGACTTCTATACCCCAGATATGTGAGACAATAAATTTTCATTATTTTGAGCTAAAACACACACACACACACACACACACACACACACACCTAAAACTATTTTTCAATTTATAACATAATATACATGCATATTTTATATTAATACTTTGTATTTCTCTCCTTGGAGTTTACTTTCTGCTCTTGGAACACACTAATTTAGCTACAACTATACCTCTTTTCCCCGTTTCCTCCTATTAACAAAAGAAAAAATATATCTCCTCTGTTCTAAGATTAATTTCTCTAATCTGGCTTCAAGACTCTTCTTCCAGGGCTGGGGTTGTGGCTCAGTGATAGAGCGCTTGCCTCGGATGTGTGAGGCACTGGGTTTAATTCTCAGCACTACATATAAAAAATAAAGGTCCATCAACGACTAATAAAAATATTTTTAAAAAGACTCTTCTTCCGCTCATTTCACTCAAGAGATTGCAATTCTGACTCTCTATCTGGCAGTTAGGAAAGGGTATATAAGCTGTGATATACCACCCACTACAGTCCTTCCCCCACCACCACCACTCCAGCCTTCCATTCTCCCCCACCCTTTCACCTCTTCCACTTCTACCATTGTAGTCAAGATTCCTGTGATTCATAATCTAATGATAAGCCAGTTAAGCTGGGTTCAGTGTTATATGCCTGTAATTCCAGCAGCTTAGGAGGCTGAAGCAGGAAGATCCCAAGTTCAAAACCAGCCTCAGCAACTAAGAGAGGCCCTGTCTCAAAATAAAATACAAAAGGGGCTGGGGATGTGGTTCAGTGGGTAAGCAACCCTGGGTTCAATCTCTGATACCAAGAAATTTAAATAAAGATAATTCAGTGAGATAGACATCAATTTTCTGCTATATATTGGAAACAATACATTTACAAGTTCTTTGGTTAACTTTTTGAAATGTGGCACTGATTTTGTTTTCTAATTACAACATAAATGAGTGTTTAACAACAACAACAACAACAACAAAATCCCTGGGGATGGAGATGTAGTTCAGTGGTAGAGTATTGGCTTAGCATGCTGGAGACGCTGCATTAGATTCCCAGCACTGAAAACAAAACAAAATAACAAGGGAAAAAACTCTCCTTCCACCTACAGATATCCCGTTAACATTTTGGTGGATGTCCTTCAAGTCATTGTTTAAAAATACATATTTGTTTTTATTAATTAATATGGCAGGCTTTTATATTAGTGTTATATAAGCCAAAAAAGAATTAGACTAGCTAACATCTTAGATGGGTGATTAATTTTTAAGTTAAATTTTAGTATTTATTTTCTAGGTATTTTATTCTTTTAAGTGTTTATAACCTTAGCTCTTCTTTTTCAAATCATTTTCTAAAGTCAAGATACATCTGAGAAATCTCAGGACTGTGATGTACAATTTAAAGCAAAGCGTGATTTTCTAATGAGTGGTTTGCCAGATTTGTTGAAACGACAAATTGCAAAGAAAGCTGCTGTTCTGGATGTGTACAATTCATTGAGTACCAGTTTCCAGAAAGTTGTTCATATACAACAAAAAGATGATGGTAAGTTTATTATTATTCAACATTTACTCTTTTTAACTGTTAGAAGTAATATAAAACTATATAGGTAGTTTAAAATGAGGCTAAGTTTTCTTAGCCTCAGGTCATTCTTTTTGTGATTTTAGTGGGAATTTTAAGTATATGTTTCATCCTCTTTTCCTTAGCCTTTTACTCACTTTAATGAGAATGGAGGTTTGCAGAGCAATGAAGCCAAAGGGAATCTTCCTCCATACCTTGTCAGAAACATGCAGGAAAGTGTGAAGGACCTTGAGTGAATATTCTCTAGACAGGCACTATGTTCTAAAAGGAAGGCAATTCCTCTCTGAAATCAGAGCAGATCATCTTTATTTCTCTGAAGTGCTGGGAATTTAGCTCACTGGGAGAGCACTTAGCCTAGCATGCATGAGGCCCTGGGTTCCATCACCAGCACTCTTTAAAGAAAAAAAAAACGCGCGCGCGCGTGTGTGTGTGTGTGTGTGTGTGTGTGTGTGTTTGTAAGTAAACACACACACACACATTTGTCCTATCCATTATTATTGTATGGTCAGAGAAATCCATTCACATCCTTTCAGAACAGCTTCAACTATTTAGTACCATATTAGTCTCTTCATAGAATACACAGGTAACAAGTAGCAAGGAAGCTGTGCAAAAGTATCTTATTCCATGGTGTCAGCCTAATCATAATACAGTTTTATTTGGATTCAGATGCTATAACAACCATAACCTTTACTTACAGTTTTTAGTTACTGATAAAGTACAAAAAAGGCTTTTATCATTACGTCAGCATTACTTCTACCCAGAGATGTTTTTGTTTCATTTTATTTTGTAGCTTTTTGGTTCTGGGGCTGGTGTTGTAGCTCAGTGGTAGAGTGCTTGCCTAGCAAGTGTAAGGCACTGGGTTTGATCCTCAGTACCACATAAAAGTAAATAAGTAAATAAAATAAAGATTTTTTTAGAAAGACAAGTTCAGCTCCCCTGGTTTTGAGGTTTGGTTTTGGGCATTCCTCATGACCATGAAATGCATATTGTTTTCTATTCTTTTTTCTTTTCCTTTTGTGTTTCTGACCTTATTACCTAATAAGTTTTGTTCAGCCTCTTTTGGTATAGGGAATTTCTCAGTCTAATAATTTTTTCTGCTTTTCCCTATTTTGCATTTCTGCCACTGTCATTAAGTTGATGAAAAAAACCTTTTTTTTCTTGTGGTCTTGGGAACCAAACCCAGAGCCTCATGCATGCTGGGCAATTACTGTAACACTGAGCTATATCCCCAACTCAACCTTTTTTAATATCATGTTTAAATATAAAAATGGATTGTGCTTTTTTTTTTTCCTGAATGCGATTTTTGAAAGAAGTGCTACTATAAAACTGAGCATTCTTTCTTTCTTTTTTGTTGGGGGCAGGTGTTGCTAAGGATTGAATCCAGGGACATTCTACCATTGAGCTATATTTCCAGTCCTATTTTTCATTTTCAATCAGGGTCTTGCTAAGTTGCCTAGGCTGTCCTTAGATTTGCAATCCTCCTGCCTCAATCTCCAGGGTCACTGGGATTATAGGTGTATATTTCCATGCCAGGCCCAAATTTAGTGTTTTTGTTTTTAGATGAGCAGATGAGGCAAGAACTGGGGGAATCCCCTTTCTTTTACATCCTTAATAATTATGAAGTACTCATTGTTAACCGGAATTCTGCTGAGCACTTATCACACTCATTTTACCACACTCATTTGGAATCTTGTTCATATAAGAATGATAGTTGGCAGAATTTGGATTGGAATACAGATTTGACTTTAAAGTTTAAACTTTAAATGAGTTTGCTAATACCCCCTAAAATCCTAAAAATTTTTTTTAAATATTTATTTTTTAGTTTTAGGTGGACACGATATCTTTATTTTATTTTTACTTGGTGCTGAGGATCGAACCCAGTGCCTCACACATGCTAGGCGAGCACACTACCACTTGAGCCACATCCCCAGCCCCAAAATCCTAAAATTTTTACCCTAAGTATCAAAACTGATTAAAAAAGAAATGAAAGTTTGCTAATATGTGCTTCTTTTAACAATTGGGAGGAATTTTTATTAATTGTATTTGTTAGAGGTGAGGATATTGTTCCCTTTGTACTCATTTGGGTTTTTGGTACTTTTATGATAACTATGTGGTTGTCACATCATTTTTGTTTGTTTTTTGTGGTGTTAGGATTTATCAAGTCTTTTCATATTTGACATTCAGTAAACACAGTATAAAAAGTTAATTAAGATAGTTTTTCTGTTTCTCTTCAGGGTGTTGGTTATGGAATTTGAAACTACCTTCTTGTCCTCTGTTAACTACATTTAAGGAGTCTAATACTAAAGTAATAGATCTCTCAAAATGTGTTATTGCTCTTGGTGAATTTTCAACATTGAATTCAAATTCAAAAAGTAATTCTGCTGTCATGGTAAGTACTAGAGAGCTAATCTGTTGTTGTAGGGCATTTTCTTCACATCTTTCAGAGGAAAAAAATTGGATGCTACTTTTTTAACGTAGAATTCCTTTTCTTCCCCTAATGTCCAATTTTTTAAAAGTGTATCTAATTGAAATACAGATTTCTTTTAAATATTCACAGAGTTACACATGTGCACGTGCACACACACACACACACATACATGATTTCAGTTCTGGGGATTGAATCCAAGGACAGTCTAGCTCTGGGCTACATCCCCATCCTTTTTTTTTTAAGAGAGAGAATTTTTTAATATTTATTTTTTAGTTTTTGGTGGACACAACATCTTTATTTTATTTTTATGTGGTGCTGAGGATCGAACCCAGCGCCCCACGCATGCCAGGCGAGCGCGCTACCGCTTGAGCCACATCCCCAGCCACCCCTATCCCTTTTTAATTTTTTTAAATTTTGAGACAGGTCTCCCTAAATTGCCTAGGCTGGCCTTGAACTGGCCATCCCCCTGCCTCAGCCTCTTGAGTTGCTGGAATTACAGGCGTGTGCCACCACACCCAGTAAATACAGAGCTTGAAAAACATTTTAAGAATTAATAATGTGGAGATGTGGCTCAAGCCGTAGCACGCTGGCCTGGCATGCATGCGGCACGGGTTCAGTCCTCAGCACTACATACAAACAAAGATGTTGTGTCCGCCGAAAACTAAAAAAAAGATAAATATTAAAAAATTATCTCTCTCTCTTTCTCTTTTTTTTAAAAAAAGAATAATAGCCAACTTCAAAGAAATGTTAGATTATATAGCACAGTTCGATGCTTTATAAGTCAGCACTGTCTAATAGGTGTGTAAAGTACAATTACTTGTAAAGAAAAAAATATGAAATAAGTCTTTCAAAAATTATGCAAGTGCAGCTTTGTGTTTAATGACTAAAGCTAATCCAACATTTATATTGACTTAATATGAACAGAACATAGTTGGTAGTTTTGTGATTAACATGCATAAATGATATGTGTTTGCTATTATGCATTTTATTCTTCATTGCAGCTTATAAGGACAAGGAAGAATTTTACTAAAGAAGTAAGAAATCTTTTGCTAGAAGAAATTAGGTGGTCAAATCCTGAATTTTCTGTGGGAAAATATTTTCCCTTGCTTCTAAAAAAACAAATTGAGCACCAGGCACTTTCTGAGTATCATGGTAAACAAGGTTAGTGATCATTATTATCATTAATGTTAATATTTTGGTTTTGAAACATAAAGACTTAGGCTTTGACTCTTAGAAGCGGCCACCATAGACAGAACATTGCTTACAGATGGCAAGGAGAAATGTTAACTTCAAGCAAAGCATCTTGAGCAATGCAATATTAGTGCCTGCCAGCTTCCATAGATGTCAATCCAAAGACAGTTTTAATTATAAATCATTCATTTAAGGAAAGCCAGATAAGAGGATTTTAACTTACATATCTTATACAAAAGGCACTCAAATATTAAAAATCTCAGCTTACTTTCAGTATGTCACATTCCATTCTTACCTTTTCATCTTAATGTCATAAGACTACAGGCTATTTAGAAGTGATATGAAGATTACTGGGTGTTGAAAATGCTTTTTGTTGATTAACAGCACATGCATTTTATGATTTCCCAAATCAGAAAATCCACAAGTAGAGCTTGATAACAATCAAAAAGAAAGCAAAAGGAAACGAGTGGAAATAGAAAATCAGAAGTCAAAAAGAAAGAAACCAAATGAATATTCAGTAAGTCCAGTAAAGATAAATGGGAAGCCAGAAGAACTTGACAAAAGAAACAACTCTTTTGAGAAAAAGCTAGGTTCTTCCAAAGGTTTATTTTCTAAAATGTCTCGGAAGAAACAAACTGCTTTGAGTACACCACGTAAAGTGAAAATAGGAGCAGTAGAAGATAATGATATTCTGATCATAGATGGTGACAGAGAGTTTCCAGCAGAAATATCTTCCATTTCTGGTAAATTGGATTTTCTTCCTCTCAACTTAGAACTTGGTTTTTAATCTCTTCTTTTTCTGTCTCTGCATTATTTTTTTTAAACATTTATTTTTTAGTTGTAGGTAGACACAATACCTTTATTTTATTTTTATGTGGTGCTGAGGATTGAAACCAGTGCCTCACGCATACCAGGCGAGTGCTCTACCTCTGAGCCACATCATCATCATCATTATTTTCATTATTATCATTATTATTATTATTATAGGTACTGGGATTGAACCTGGAGAACGTTTAACCACTAAGCCACATCCCAGCCCTTTTTATTTTTCATTTTGAGACATGATCTCACTAAATAGTTCAGGGCCTAAGTTGCTGAGGCTGGCTTTGAACTGGGATCTTCCTACGTCAGCTTCCATGGCTGTTCAGATTACAGTCATGCATCATCAAACCCAGCCATTTTCCCCCTCTCTCAAAAATTTTTTTTGAACTAGGTGCAGTGGTGCACCCTCGTAATCCCAGTGACTCGAGAGTTCAAAGTCATCCTAAGCAATGGTGAAGTGCTTAACAACTCGCTGAGACCCTGTCTCTAAATTAAATAAAATACAAAATAGGGCTGGAGATGTGGCTCAGTAGTTGAGTGCCCCCAAGTTCAATCTCCAGTACCAAAAAAAAAAAAATTTTTTTTTTTCCTTTTTTTAAATTTTGAGCTGGGTTCTTGCTATGTTACCAGGCTGGGCTCGAACTCAAGATCCTCCTGTTTTAGCCTTCCTTTTTTTTTTTTTTTTTTTTTTTTTTTTTTTTAATGTTTATTTTAGTTGTAGGTGACCTTTATGTTATTTTTATGTGTTGCCGAGGATGGAACCCAGAACCTCACATGTGCTAGGCGAGTGCTTTACCACTGAACCACAATCCCAGCCCTGTTTTAGCCTTTTTAGTAGCTGGGACTGTGGGCAGACACCACCATTCCTTATCACCCTTTCTTTTAATGTACATCTATTGCAACTTTTAAACAATGTATGTCCAATGTATTCCTTTGAATTCATCCATTTTATATTTTCATTGGTCAAAAGAAACCACATATGCTGCCTTTTTTCTATAGATTGTTGGGTTTTATAAAAATTATTTTTAATAGTCATATTTCTTGATTGGTTGTTAAATTTTAAGATGTACTTCTTTATACCTTTCATGAGATTTTATGGTGGTTAGGTTTGGGGTTTTTAGTACCAGAGAATAAATCCAGAGGAGCTTAACCCCAGAGTCACATCCCCAGCCCTTTTTATATTTTATTTGGAGACATGGTCTCATTGAGTTGCTTAAGGCCTAACCAATTTGCTGAGGCTGGCTTTGAACTGTGATCTTCCTGCCTTAGGCCCCAGTGCTTCTGGGATTGCAGACCTGCATGCCCACTGAGTGCAGTAGTTAGTTTTTTTGTTACTGTTGTTGCTTTTTTTTTCCCCCCAGGGGGTTGGATTTGGTGTCGAAAATTTTAAAGTAATGTTTAAGTTTTAAAAATTACATTTTTGGCATTTTATAAATGTAAATATTTTTACAAATATGTATTATTTCATTATAAAAAATGTTAATGTCTAAGAATATATGCTCATGTCAAGGAGTGAATACTATCTTAGCTTTTTCTTTTCTGCTTTAGATTCTGGAACTGAAGACATGCTTTGGACAGAAAAGTATCAACCTCAAAATGCCAGTGAACTCATAGGCAATGAGTTAGCTATAAAAAAGTTACATAGGTTGGTAAAATTTTTAAAGCATTAAAAATTTTATAAATTTAGTGTTCAGTTAAATCTAAAAGTTAGAAATTACAAACTAACATACTAAATGGGAAACATCATTTTAAAAAAAAAAATTTTAAGTGAAGTTTCTCTCTTCTCATATTTCCACTGCCCAAGGTTACTATTAAAACTTATTTTTATAATATCTAAAGTTTAAGAGATGTTGATATTCTGTGAATTTTCTTTTTATTAATATACTTTATGACAGTTGGTTGAAAGACTGGAAGAGAAGAGCTGAACTGGAAGAAAGACAGAATTTGAAGGGAAAAAGAGAGGAGAAACAGGAAGGTATTTGACTCATTTTTTTTCTTCTTAACTGAACATTTTTTTAGAGTTAAATTAGCTCGGAGCTGGGCATGTGGCTCAAGCGGTAGCACACTCGCCTGGCATGCGTGCGGCCCGGGTTCGATCCTCAGCACCACATACAAACAAAGATGTTGTGCCCGCCGAGAACTAAAATAAATAAATAAATAAATATTAAAATTCTCTCTCTCTCTCTCTTTAAAAAAAAAAAAAGAGTTAAATTAGCTCAAACATTTTTATGTAATTTTAAAATTAATATATAATATTTGGCTTAACTTTTATAAATTCATTTTCCAGTATTTATTGTCAAGAATTTGGGGGGACTGGGGTTGTGGCTCAGTGGTAAAGTGCTCGCCTAGCATGCATGAGGCACTGAGTTCGATCCTGAGCACCACATAAATGTAAAATAAAGATATTGTGTTCACTTAAACCTAAAAAGTAAATATTTAAAAAAAAAAAAGAAATTTGGGGTGTTTGATTATTGGGTTTCATGAGATAGAATTGCTGCCTAAACAATTAATCATTTTATATGTTTTTGAATAATTTTTCAGATTTGTCAGATAGCAAAGACTTTAAAGGCAGTTCAGATGATGAGGAAGAGAGTCGTCTTTGCAATACTGTTCTTATAACAGGGCCAACAGGAGTGGGAAAAACTGCTGCAGTGTATGCTTGTGCTCAGGAGCTTGGATTCAAGGTTAGTAGGTGCAGTGGAAGAATGTTAATGTTAATAAGTAACCTTGACCTAAAAGAAAACATAAAGTATTCTGCCATTTTCTCATTTATTCTTCTAGATATTTGAAGTAAATGCCTCTTCCCAGCGCAGTGGTAGACAGATTCTGTCTCAGCTGAAGGAAGCTACTCAGTCCCATCAAGTAGACAAGCAAGGTGTAAACTCACAAAAACCCTGCTTTTTTAATAGCTACAACATAGGCAAGTCACCAAGTAAGTAAATTATTTTTCTTAAGGTATAGCCTTTTGAGAAAAGTAAAACCTGAGAAAATAGTTTTTAATTGTCAACATTTTGCCTTTTTTTTTTTTTCCATAACTGGGGTATCGAATCTAGTAGTATTCCCAATTTTTTTTTTAGTTTATATTTGAGACAGGGTCTAGCTAAATTACCCATGCTGACCTTCAACTTGGGATCCTCCTGCCTCAGTCTCCTGAGTAGCTGGGATAGCACCATGCCTTGCTTGCCATTCATTTTAAATCTTTTCTTGCATATTAACATGTTTTGTTTTGTTTTGTTTTGTTTTTTCCCCTGAACTATTTTAAAACAAAATAAATCTGAGGGACTTCATGTAATTTTACCCACATATACTTTCTGTTTTCCTAAATATTTATTTTTTTGTAGTTGTAGTAAGACACATTACCTTTAATTAATTAATTAATTAATCAATCAATCAATTTTTTTGTGTGTGGTGCTGAGGATCAAACCCAGGGCCTCACACATGTGAGGCGAAGCTCTACTACTGAGCCATAACCCCAAACCCCGCCCAACACATATGCTTTTAACCAATAAAGGCTTTTTGAAAAGCATATCAATAGTATCATAATCAGGTCTAACAAAATGCAATATATTACTTAATATCCTCTAATATACTGATTTTAGTTTCCTGTTGTTCACATTGTTTGTTTAAATCAGGATCCAAACAAGGTTCATATCTTATATTTAGTGTTTTGTTTTGTTTTTTTTTAATTGTTAATCTCCTTAACAATTCCCTGACCCATTATTTTCATGTTGTTTATATGTTGAACAGCCTGTCATTTGCCATAGGATTTCTCGTAGTTTGGACTTGGCAATGATTGTATCCTCACACTGTCAGTTAACATTTTCCTCTTCCCTATGTTTCTTATAAATTGGTGGTTAGATAGTGGGGCTTGATTAGATTCAGGTCTGTTTTGTGTGTGGCATATGTGAATAGGTAGGCTTCTACTTCTTATGACATAGCAGCAGAACACACATCCTTCTTAGTGATATTGAGAGTAATCAATGAATTCAAGTATTTTCATTCTGACCCATATACCATAACCTCCCTTACCTTTAGTTAATGGTACTTTAGACCCACTAATGATCTTTGTCTAATGGAATAATTATTGTTAGGGATTTTTAAATGATGATATTGTAATTCTCTCAGCTTTTTTGCATTTATTAGTGGGAATTCTGAGAAGCACTATTCTTTGTCAACTATTTGGATACTTTAAAATATAGTTCATAGATATAAACTATATTTTAAAATGGTTCTTTTTTATTTTTCTGTACTGGGGATTGAACTTGGGGATGTTTTATCACTGAGGTACATCCCCAACTCCCTTTAAAAAAATTATAATTGTAGATGGACAGAATGCCTTTATTTTATTTGTTTATTTATATATTGTGCTAAGAATCAAACTGAACCCAGTTCCTCACACAGATGCTAGGCAAGTGCTCTGCCATTGAGCTGTAGCCCCAGCCCTTCACATCCCTTTTTAATTTTTATTTTGAGACAAGGTCTGACTAGGTTGTTTACATCCTCACTAAATTGATTAGGCTGGCTTTTTGTTGTTGTTCTTGTTCTTTTTAGTTATATGTGACAATAGAATGTATTTTGAGGGGGGTTGGGGTAGAGCGTTTGACTAGCATGTGTAAGGCACTGGGTTTAATCCTCAGCACCACATAAAAATAAGTAAATAAAATAAATGTAATGTGTCTATATACAACTACAAAGAAAAAGAAAAGAATGTATTTTGACTACTATACATGCATGCAGTGTAACTTTTCATTCTTGTGGTTTTACATGATGTGGAGTTACACAGGTCATATATTCATATATGAACATAAGAAAGTTAGGTCAGATTCATCCTACTTTCTTTCCTACTTCCATTCTCGGTCTCTTCCCCTTCATTCCCCTTTGTCTAATCCAATGAACTTCTCTGCCTCCCCACTTATTATATGTTAGCGTCTGCTTATTAGAGAGAACATTGGGCCTTTAGTTTTTTGGGTTGGCTTATTTCACTTAGCATGACAGTCTCCAGTTCCGTCCATTTACTTGCAAATGCTAAGGCTGGCTTTGAACTTGCTATCTTTCTGCCTTGGCCTCCCATACCACTGGGATTACAGGCATGTGCCATCATGACCAGCTCTTTCTTTTATTTTCTTGTTCTTAGAGTAATGATATTCTAGCAACCTCCAAATTGACCAAGGAGGTTTTTTTTTTTTTCTTGGGGGAAGAAGGGTTGGTATTACTATGAACTCATGGATTTTAACATATTTAATGTTTTGCAGTCCTTTGTGTTCATTATTCATTGCAATTTTTAAATTGTTTTCTTTATCACTAGGTTTTTTTTTGTTGTTGTTGTTTTTTCTTTTTTTCTTTTTTTGGTACCAAGGATTTAACCCAGGGCACTTCACCACTGACCTACATCCCAGACTTTTTTTTTTTTTTTAATATTTATTTTTGGGCTGGGGATGTGGCTCAAGCGGTAGCGTGCTCGCCTGGCATGCGTGCGACCCGAGTTCGATCCTCAGCACCACATACAAACAAAGATGTTGTGTCTGCCGAAAAACTAAAAATAAATAAATAAATAAATATTTAAAAAAAAAAAAAAAAAAAAAAAATATTTATTTTTTAGGTGTAGATGAATACAACACAATTTTTTTTTTTTTTAATGTGGTGCTGAGGATCGAACCCGGGCCCCACCCTTGCTAGGCCAGCACTCTACTGCTGAGCCACAATCCCAGCCCCCCAGACCTTTTTTTTTATATTTTATTTAGACACACTGTAATTCCTTGTATATATATTTTAAAATGGTTCTTTTTTATTTTTCTGTACTGGGGATTGAACTTGGGGATGTTTTATCACTGAGGTACATCCCCAACTCCCTTTAAAAAAATTATAATTGTAGATGGACAGAATGCCTTTTTAAAATAACCATTTTAAAATATATATACAAGATCATTACTTGTTTCAAAAATATGTATTTCTTTGGAAAAGAGTGTTTTCCAAATTTTCCGTTTTCCAACTCACTGAGTTGCTTAGGGCCTCGTTAAATTGCTGAGGCTGGCTTTGAACTCACAATCCTCCTGCCTCAGCCTTCCTGGCCCCTGGGATTACAGGCATGCACTCCTCTGTCTAGCACTTGTTTTAATTTATTTGATTATGATGTTCGTTGGTGATTTTCCACATATTTTGTTTGTTTGGGGGTGTTGTGATTCTTTGATATATGGGTTGATAGTTTTCAGTAAACTTGGAAAATTTCAACCATTATTTCCCGAAATATGTTTTCTGTTCTCCACCTTTGGAAACTTAATTACAGATATCTTCGACTACTTGCAGTTGTCTCACAGCTCAGTGATTTTTATTTTCTTGGTAAAGAACCCCCAGGTGCTTTACCCCACTGACCAATATCTCCAGTCTTTTTTTTTTTTTTTTTTTATTGTTATTTTGAGACAGGGTCTCCTAAGTTGCTGAGGCTGGCCTGGAACTTGCGATCCTCCTGCCTCAGCCTCTCTAGTCACATCACTGTGCCTGGCCTCTCTGATGTTTTGTTCATTTTTTCAATCTTCATCCTCTTTGTGTTTCAGTTTGAATAATTATTACTATTTACTCAAGTTTACAGACCTTTTCTCCTGCAGTATCTAATATGCTTTCAGTGCCATAGTGTAGTTTTCATTTCTGTAATTTTTTTTTTTTTTTTGTGGTGCTGGGGATCAAACCCAGGGCCTTGTGCATGCAAGGCAAGCATGCTACCACCTGAGCTATATCCTCAGCCCATTTCTGTACTTTTTATTTGGGTCTATTTTACTCTGATGTGTTTCTACTTAACATGTACTCAGTCTTTCCAATAGTTTTTTTTTTTTTTTTCATTTGTTCTTTTTAGATATACATGACAGTAGAGCACATTTTGACATATTATACATACATAGAGTATATAGGTTTTTTTTGTTGTTGTTTTTTGTACTGGGGATTGAACCCAAGGTTATTCAGCCACTGAACCACATCCCCAGTCTGTTTTTATTTTTTATTTTGAGACACAGTCCTGCTAATTGCTTAGGGCCTCACTAAGTTTCTGAGGCTGGCTTTGAACATTCCATTCTCCTGCCTCAGCTTCCTGAGTTGCTGGGATTACAGGTGTGTGCCACATAGACATAGAGGTTTTTGAACATAAGGAGTACAATGACAGTAACTATTTTAATATTTTTAATCTATGTATATCTATTATCTGTATTGTCTCTGGTTTGGTTTTTCAATTGATTGTTTTTTCTTTATTATGGATTGTATTTTTCTATTTCTTTGGATAGAAAAAGAACATATGCTCTGGAATTAATGCCTTGGGGCTTCTGGGGGTAGAGATCAGTAATTTATTTTTTTAACTCTATCCTCCAAAGCATCTTTGGAAATATATATTTCTTGCTTCTAAAGTCAATTTACAATAGGGATAAGCTGAAGTTGAACAATAAAATTTATGTTCCATTGTCATTTTTTCCTCTATCCTCTTCTGACCTCAAGCAAATGTTGAGCAACTCACTAAAGGGATTGTGATCATTACTTGTTTCAAAAATATGTATTTCTTTGGAAAAGAGTGTTTTCCAAATTTTCCGTTTTCCAAATGGTTGGTTTGCCTTCTCTATGTGGGCATAAGTAACAATATAGTGATTTTTTTTTACTGCATTGAGCATTTGAATGTAAGAATGAAAGAAAATTTCTGTATCTTTGATTTTTACCTGATAAGGAGAAATATACAATCTTGCTACCTGTATAGTTTTAGAATGTTTATCCTTAAACACAGTTTGTTTTGTGCAGAAAAATTAAACTCTCCTAAGAAAGTTGTTACTTCACCAAGGAAACTTCCTCCATCATCACCAAAAAGTAATGGGCAGAAGCGAGGAATTCCCCCTAAAACTTTGGCAAATTACTTTAAAGTATCTTCCAAGTCCAAAAATAATGAAGAAATAGGAGAACTTCTGGAAAGTAATAAAGGTAAATCATTAAATTGACAAATAAACTTGGCTTTTTATTTTTATTATTTTAGTTGTCAATGGACTTTATTTATATACGGTGCAGAGAATCAAACCCAGTGCCTTACACATGCTAGGCAAGTGCTGTACCACTGAGCCACAACCCTAGCCCAAACTTGGCATTTTTAAATAATAATGGTCCGGATACATGAAAATATGCAGATATTTCATGAGTTCCTATTGCTGTTATTGAAAGCTGAATTATACTGAAGGTTCTACATATAGAAGTTCTGTTTCAGTTTTTTTTAAATGTATATTTATTTTAGTTATAATGGACCTTTATTTTATTTATATATGGTGCTGAGACTCAAAGCCAGGGCCTCACACATGCAAGGCAAGTGCTCTACCCTGGAGCCACAACTTTATTTTACTGGCTATTTACTTGAGGAGCTGTTTCAGGAACCACCTCAAGTTCAAGGGCAATCTATGTAACTTAATATGATCATCTCAAAATTTAAAAAAATAATAATGAAAAGGACTGAGGATGTAGCTTAATGGTAAAACACTTGCCTAGTATGTGTAAGCCAAAAATGTTGATTTTTGCCTAAAATAGCAATATTTTATTTATTCAGGAATTAAAAATTCTTTGGAACAGAAGCAAATTACTCAGACTAAATCTGCAAGTGTACCTAATTCAAACGTCAAAGAATTTGGAGCTGAAGAACCCAACAGGAAAAATGCAACATCTCTTATTCTTTTTGAGGAGGTAGGCTTACAGAGGTACAACATTCATGACATCTTGGTAAAAATTTCTTTAAAAAGATACACACACACACACACACTCTCTCTCTCTCTCTCTCATTCCTCCCATGGTGCTGGGGATTGAACTCAGCGTCTTACACAGGCTAGTTAAGCGCTCTATCACTGAGCTCCATCCCCAGCCAATCTATTTGATTAAAGCAAATGAAACTGTAATCTCTTGAATTTTTTTAGGAAGATAATTAATGCAATTCAATGTTACTAATTATTTAATGATCATAGAAATTATTCTGACCTTCATCTATCCACTTACAGGTGACTGCATTTTTTTTGGTTTTAATGTTTAATATTTGATAATCAAAAAAAACTTTATAAGATATAAGCTTTCATCATGGGCTGACAATACTTTTTTAAAAATTAATAAATTTTGTCTCTCACAGGCGTATAGTATTTTTACTGTGTATACATAATTGAGATCTAGTAAGTATTTTGTTACTTGTTAATATTCTAATAAATGGTTTGTAGGTTGATGTCATTTTTGATGAAGATGCTGGTTTTTTGAATGCAATCAAAACATTCATGGCAACAACGAAACGACCTGTAATCCTTACTACAAGTGGTATGTAACAATGATTTTAGTACAAAAAATTACTTTTGGTTAAAATGTTTAGGAAAGCCTCTAGTTTTGTTCCTTCAAAAATTAGTTGACTGGTCCACACAGTGAGGTGTACCTATAGTCCCAGCTGCTCTGTAGACTGAGGCAAGTGGATATCTTAAGGATTCTTCAAATTTGAAGGAAAAAAAAAATTGATTTGCAACCTTCAGTAATTAAAAACTATTATTTCACAAATAGCGATGACTTTTTAAAAATAGGTACTACATTGGATAACCATGTTGAGTATTAGATATTTAGTAAGCTGATCACAGCCTGGAACACAGATAGATTTATGGATTAGCTAGTGTTACAATAGGAAAAAATATCAGATCATTTTCTTTCTTCTTCATTGTATCTGTAATTAGATCAGCAGACCTCATTTTCTAGTCCTTTCTACAGTTACTTAACATTGAATTTAAGCCCCTTATGACACTTCCAATATGGATTATTGCACATTTTAGCTAAAGTAAGCTATCATCAACCTAACAGAATCTCCTTTCTCGGGAATTAGCATTGCATAGTTTTCAAAACTCGTACAATTTCCTTTCTTTTAAAAAAAATTACAAATATTATATTTTCATTTTTGTCTAATATTTTTCATTGCATTATTCAGGAGACTAGCTCTGCCATAGACTTCTAGGAAAATGTGTATGTTTTAGATTTTACCTACAAATTGATGGCCCATTTAACAGTGATTGTGTTCTAAAAATATTTATAAAAATCCTGTTCATCATAAGGTGGTAGTTTAATTAAAAGATCATAATTACTTTAGGTCAAGATGGAAAGTTAGTTCCATAAGGATCAGTGATGTGCATGGTATTATTGTTTAGTAGACTCCCCTTACCTGCTGAGGATACTTCCAAAACCCCCAGTGGATACCTGAAATATCAAGTAGCACTGAGCCCTATATAATAAGTTAAATTTATAAGTAAGCACAGTAACAGATTAACAACAAAGAATCAATTAGAATAATTACAACAATATACTGTAAAAAATTACTCTTTGGACTTTGGGACCATTATTAAGTAAAATAAGACTTATTTGAATGCAAGCGCTGTGATAGCCACAGAAATCAATTTGATAACCAAGAACTAAATGACTGACAGAAGGGAAGCATATACAGCATGGATATACCTAATGAAGTGATGATTCATCTCAAGCAGGATAGCTTGAGATTTCATCACATTACTCATCATGTCATGAAAATTTAAAATTTATGAATTGTTTAGTTTTACAGTTTTCTACTTAATATCTTTGGATCATCATTGACTGTAAGTAACTGAACTGCAGAAAGCAAAACCATGGCTAAGGGTAGACTACTGTACTTTCATTATTAATGAAATGTTTAATATTTTGATAGACAAGTATAACTGGGAAAAGTTACTTACTGGTGTTAATGTTTAATTTTTTTTTTTTCCCTGTAGATCCAACATTTAGTTTACTGTTTGATGGCTGCTTTGAAGAAATCAATTTCAGTACTCCTTCTCTGGTAAGTTTTGAATTTTGATGATCATAGATTATACACCATAATTATGTGAAAGTGATTTCTTATTAAATTTAGATATCATAATTTAAAAATGTGTTTGCTAAGGGATATATTACAACTTTTGTTAGTTTTAGGGAACTTCTGGCTTTTTTTTTTCCTTAAAAAAAGATTTCTAAAAAATAATTAAATTTTTTCTGTATTCAAATGTTCATTTGGGTTACCCCCCCCCCCCATAATAGTACCTAATTAAGGGAAAACATAAATATAGTTGAAATTTGAACTTTCTTAGATGTACTGTTCAATGAATGTTAACATATGTAAAAGCCCCCAAAAATCATCACTGAGATCAAAATATAGAACACTTCCATCACCTTCTAAACTTCCTAATGGCCTTCTGGTCAGCATGACCTTCCCAACTAGAAGTAACCATTATTCCTTTTCTGGTTTTCTTCACTGATGAACATTGCACTTTGTTTATTTTTTCTTTTAACCTTTGGAAAAAAAAATTCTTTAATTTTAAAATGACATACATTGAAATTGACTTCTTTGGGTGTTATGTTCTATGATCTTTAATACCTATATAGATTCATGAAACCATTACTACAATTTGGATACAGAATAATTCTCTCACCCCATAAAACTTCTTCATGTTAATGTCTATTAATTGAGATTAGTTTTGAAATTTCAAATAATAGGAAACAAACATTAAGCAACCTTTCGTATCTAGCTTCTTTCATTCAACACCAGGTTTTTTGGATTCATCCATGCTGTTCTGTTTGTGGAATTGTTGAGTCATATGCAGTAGGTATTTGTTTAATTGTTTTTTAGAGTCTGCCAGATAAACCAGGTGCAATGGTATGTATCTCTAATGCTAGCAACTCAGGAGGCTGAGGCAGAGGATGGCAAGGCCAGCCTGGGCAACTTAGCAAGATCCTGTCTCAAAACAAAAATTATTATTTTTTTATTTTTTAATATTTTTTTTGAGAATTTTAATATTTATTTTTTAGTTTTCAGCGGACACAACGTCTTTGTTTGTATGTGGTGCTGAGGATCGAACCCGGGCCGCACGCATGCCAGGCAAGCGTGCTACCGCTTGAGCCACATCCTCAGCCCTCAAAATAAAAATTAAATAGGGCTTGGGGATATTGCATAATGGTTGAATACCCTGTTTTTAATTCCAGTGCTGCCAAAAAAAAAAAGAGAATCTGCCAAATAGGTCTGTGCATGAGACTTGCAGTTATCAGTCTTTTTTTAACTTTAGCCACAATGATGTTATTCATCTGTGTTTGTGTTCATGTGGTTTTTGTTAATTACTTTATTGAAAAATAATTTACATAATAGTAAAATTTATTCAGTCTAAGTGTATTGTTCAATGAGTTTGACAAAATGTAGCTATTGGACATGTGCATCAAGATTTGAACATATTTTAAGTGTGATGTGGTAGCATACATCAAGTAATTCTAGCTATTTGGGAGGTCCATGTGAATTCTGGGCCAATTTGGACAACACAGTGAGACCATGACTTTAAAAAAAGAAACAAAAGTCCTTTTGAAATAGGATTTCTGTTAGAGAGTGAATGTAAATGTCAGCACACATTGAAGAGTTAGTCACAAGAATGTACTTGGGAAAATATGTAGGAAAATAGATATCAATATATAAGTTAGGAGATCAGACAAAGTATAAAGTGAGTGATAGGATTAGAAATATTTTCAACAGGGCTGGGGATGTGGCTCAAGCAGTAACGAGCTCGCCTGGCATGCGCAGGGCGCTGGGTTCGATCCTCAGCACCACATAAAAATAAAGATGTTGTGTCCACCAAAAACTGAAAAATAAATACTAAAAAAAAAAAATTCTCTCTCTTTCTCTCTCTCTAAAAAAAACGAAAAGAAAAGAAATATTTTCAACAGGGGGGTGGTTGAATATATAATCTTAGGAAGAAACAAGTATGTAGTTACCAATAGGATTGAAATTTGAAAGCATTAGGCAACGTAGACATGGATGTTTTTAGTAATCCATGCTCTCCTTAAATTGAGGCTTTGGTAGAATCTTAAATGTGGGCTTTGCATTAAAAAAAATAAAATAAAAAAAGGAACAAAATGAACATCACCTCAAAGATTCCATTGTGTTTAGACCCTTCCCCTACTCCTAAGCCCTGTCAACTACAGTCTGTTTTTCTGTCACTGTAGTTATGCTTATTATAGAATTTAATGTAAGTGAAATCTTTTTCTTTTTTTTTTTAAACCAGGGATGGAATCCAGGGGCACTTAACCACTGAGCCACATCCTCAGCCATTTTTATATTTTATTTTGAGATAGGGTCTCATAAAACTTTTTTTTAATATTTAGTCATGTAATGTGTCCTTTTTTTTTTTTCTTCTTCTTTTAAATTAGCAGTGTTCTATCATATGGATGTACCTCAGTGTGTTTATCATTTCACCTGTTGATAGACATATGGGTTACTTCTAATGAAGTCATTTTTTTAAAAATTTTTAATTGTAGATGGACATGACTTTATTTTATTTATTTTTATGTGATGCTGAGGATCAAACCCAGTGTCTCAACATGCTAGGCAAGTGCTCTACCACTGAGCCACAACCCCAGCCCCCAAATTTGTTTTTTATGGAATTGTTCTAGCTATTGTATGTCTTATTCATTTCTCTCTATTAATTTTAGAAACAGCTTGTCAACTTTATAGTTTATTCTAGGTATTGCATTATATTTACAGATCAATTTTTGTAAAACTGACATTAAACAATATTGAGTCTTCTGATTCATGAAGGGAGGTATTAATTTCTATAAGCAAGGTTTTATAATTTTAATTGTACATACTTTGCACATATTTTGTTAAATTGAGTCCTTGGTGTATCAATTTCTGTTACTATAAGGAAATATCTGAAGTTATGTAATTTTATAAAGAAAGGAGGTTTAATTTAGCTCCAAATATGGAGGTCCAATGGAATAGTGCCAGCTTCTGCTCAGCTCTTGTGAAGGCCTCATTGAAGATGGCACCACAATGGCCGGAGCACCTGAGCTATATCAAATAGCTCCTGCAATATGGAGAAAAAAATCAACAGAGTGAACAGTAAAGTATAGAGTGGAAATAAATTTATCAACTATCTAATAAGGGCTTAAGAGCCAAACCATAAGGAATTCCTACAACTCAATACCAAAATAAACAACCAGGTTTTTAAAATGAGCCAGTGACTTGAATAAACATTTCTCCAAAAAATAAAAAAAAAAATACATGTGGCCAACAGGTATATGAAAAGATGTTGATTATCACTAGTCATTAGGGAAATGCAGATTAAACCACAATATGATATCATCTCACACCTGTTATGATGGCCATTAGCCTTTCTACTACTTATTATTCAATTATTTGATGAGGGAAAAACATTAAAACTTGATCTTTGATTATAGATTTATATATAAATATATATTAATTTTTTTTAGTTATTGATGGACTTTTATTTATTTATTTATATGTGGTGCTGAGGTTCGAACCCAGTGCCTCACACGTGCTAGGCAAGCGCTCTACCACTGAGCCACAACCCCAGCCCTGGATTTATCTATTTTTATTTTTAATTCTATCAGGTTTTGCTTCATAATTTTTTTGGGGGGGGGCAGGGGTGATGGGCATCTAACCCATGGGCACTTTACCACTGAGCTACATTACCAGCCCTTTTCATTTTTTTATTTTGAGACAGGGTCTCACTAAGTTGCTGAGGCTGCCCTTGAACTTGTGATCTTCCTGTCTCAGTCTCCCAAGTCACTGGGATGCTTCATAGATTTTAAAGCTCTACTATTTTATGCATTTATATTTGGGATTGCCATATTCTCTTGATCAGTTGATTTTATCTGATTTTTTCTGATTTTAATAGCATACAATACTATTATGAATATAATTCCTTACATTTCTTGTATCTTTTTAATATTTAAATATTTTTAATATTTTTAGTTTTCTCATTTCGGTCTATCATCAATTTCAAATTAAATTCTGTGATTGGCATAGAATAGTAGTCAAAATTTCTCTTTTCTCATGGATTTCCACTGGTTCCTACCCTTATTTACTGAATATAATCTACTTTCCCCCATTTAATTGCTTTGGTATATTAAAAAATAATTTTAGTTCTGTACACACATGTCAGTCTCTTTCAGGATTATTTATTTGGTTGCACCGATGTATTTGTCATTATTGCCAACATACTTTTGCTTTCTTTAAGACAGAGTTTCACTCAGTCTGATCTCAGGCTCCTGGACTCAAGAGATCCTCTCACTTCAGCCTCTTCCCTTAGTACTAGGATTATAGGTGTTTGCTACCACACCTGTCTTTACCATATTTCTTAATTTTGATGACTTTATAGTTAATGTTGATATCTGATAGTTTGTTCCCGAGTCTGGTCATTCTTCAAGTTGTTTTGGTTTTTCTAAGTTCCTTGCTCTTTCTTTTTTAAGTATTGAGGCTTGAACCCAGGGCCTCAAGCATGTCAAGCACACATGTGACCACTAAACTTACCTCTAACTTGTTTTTTACTTTAAAAAAGACTGCCAGAGCTGGGTCTGGTGGCACATGCCTATAATCCCAGCAGCTCAGGAGGCTGAGGCAGGAGGATAGCAAGTTCCAAGCCAGCCTCAGGATAAACGAGGCACTAAGCAACTCAGTGAGACCCTGTCTCTAAATAAAATACAAAATAGGGGGTTGGGCCTGTGGCTCAATGGCAGAGCACTTGTCTAGCATATGTGAGGCACTGGGTTTGAGCCTTAGTGCCACATAAAAATAAAATAAAGGCAATTCTGTCAATCTACTACTACAAAAACAAAAACTTTTTTTTTTTTTTTTCAGTCCAAAACAGTGCTGGGGATGTGGCTCAGTGGTTGAGTGCCCCTGAGTTCAATCCCCAGTACCCCCCACCCAAAAAAAAGGGGATGAGGATATAGCTCAGTGGTTAAGCACCTCTGGGTTTAATCCCTGATACCAAAAAAAGACTTCCAGCATTTTGATGGGAATTATGTTACCTTCATAAATCAATTTGAGAGAAAATTGGCATCTCAATATTGAATTTTTCAGTTAATGAACATGGTAGAGTTCACCATTTATTTATCTTTGATTTTTTTTAAACAGTATTGGTGGTTTTTAGAGGCATAACAAACCTTTCTTTAAACTTATTCTTTGGTATTTCATGTTTCTAATGCTCCTGTAGACTTTATTCTTTGGGGGGAAAGTGGGAGGGTCCTAGGGATTGAGTGGATCCAGGGTGCTATACCACGGAGCTACATTCCAGCCTTTAAGTTTTTCACTTTGAGACAGGGTCTCACTAAATTGCTGGGGCTGGCCTGGAACTTGAAATTCCTCCTCAAGCCTCATGAGTAGCTGGAATTACAGGTGTGTGCCACCATTATTGGCAATTTTACTATCTTTAAAAAAAAAAAATCCTTATCTACCTATTCCAATATCTGTATTATCTTGTGTTCAGTTGCTCTTGATTACCATGTCTCTAAAGTATTGGTTATTTTTCTAATTTTCATGTGTCTGTTTAGATTTTCCTCCTGGACTTTGTGAATGATATTATGGATACCCGGATCCTGATAGTTCCTCTGAACAACTATTTGCCTGCAGTTTATTGCAGCACAAATTTGTGCTTGGTCCCTGTAGTTTCAGTTGGGCTGTTTTTAGAGAGGCCAGATTTGAGTCCTGTTGGCTAGAATTTCTGTTTCTTTACCTTCTGGATCCTTTCCTCTCTTTCAAACACTGATATCATTCCAGACTTTGTCCTCCGGTTCTTTAAGTCAGTAGCTGGGAGTTGCTCTCTGAATTTTATCCACCCTGCTGCAGCATTCCCTCAAAAATAATTAAAGGGGTAGAGGGGATTCACCCAGGGCCATTTAATGAATCCCTCTTCAGTTTTCTCTACTTTTGTTCACTGTCTTGTACTTTCAGGTGGCTAATTTATTTGCAGTTAATTATAAGTTTATAGTTATTTACACAGGCCAGGTTTTCCTGGTATTCACTACTCCGATATTGGATATAGAATTCCCAATTTATGGTAAACATAAATCCCAGAAGTATGCAAGAGTAAATGTATATTTGTAGAATAAAGGCAAACATTTCAAAGGGATATTTTTTTTACTTGCCTTATTTAGTATAGTGAAAATGCAATAATGGTTTATGAAATCTATGAAATTTAAGTACAATTTATTTCTTTTAGTTTTCAAGGTAAAAAATTTTTTTCCATAGGAAACAATGTAAAGAGAATTGTACACATATATATGTCCATATGTGTACACACATATATTTTATAAACCATACATACTACTGGAATACTAAATAAAATGAAAGAATTCTTTTTGTCTGTTAACTCATAACAAATAAAATGTTTTAGATTTTTCCCCTTTTATTTCTTATTTACGTACATATATATTTTTTATTTTTCCTTTTTTGAAGTTCCACGGATTGAACCAAGGGATGAAGTACCACTGAGCTAAATCCTTAGCCCGCTTTATTTTTTTTATTTTGAATCAGGGTCTTGCTAAGTTCCCCAAGGTGGCCTTGAATTTGTGATCCTCCTGCCTCAGCCTCCAGAGTAAGCTAGGATTTTAGGTACACACCACACACCTAATACATATATGCTTTTATGCACTTGTTGATAGTTTCCTAATTGCAGTTTTAAAAAATCATGTTTTTCAGTGTTGTTATAGTATTCATAATTTTGATGGCTATGAAATATTCTCTTGAGCTATACCATTACACAATCCTAAGGGTTTTTCAAGATTTGTAAAATGTGTTCAGATTGGAGAACCTTCTATAAAAGTTTCCTGGCTATCCTGGATTATATACAATAAATAGAAATAGTATATGTATATATGCCTTTCATTTGGTATATTGCTTTATGTGTTTTAGAGCAATTTCGTTCTTTAAAATATTGTGAACTATAGCAAAATTTCTTTTAGATAATGTTTAGATTTATTATTGCTGTATTTCTTTCTATTAATTGCAACTAACCATGTTTCTCTTTCTCTCCCACTCTGTCCCTGTTTTTAAGCTAAATGTTGCCACCTACCTACAAATGATATGTTTAACTGAAAATTTCAGAACTGATGTAAAAGACTTTGTAACCTTGTTAACTGCAAATGGTTGTGATATCAGAAAAAGTATCCTTTACCTACAATTTTGGATTAGAAGCGGAGGTGGATTTTTAGAAGAAAGGCCATTATCTCATTGTCGTAAGTCCATATGTTATATGTTATAAGAGAAATTTCCATTATGAGACTGTCTGTCTGTATTATGTATTATGTGGTTGTACTAGAGATTTAACCCAGGGGCACTCTACTACTGAGCTACACTCCCAGCCCTATTTTTACTTTTATTTTGAGGCAAGGTCTTACTGAATTGCCAAGGCTGACCTCAAACTTGTGATCCTTCTGCCTCAGTCTCCAAATTGCTGAGATTATTAGGCATGCACCACCACACCTGGCAGGACCTAATTTTAAAATATATATCAAAATATTTAAAAGACTAAAATTTTTGACCATTTTAACCCTCTAGTTATCATGCTATTCTTCAAAATACATATACATATCTCAGCTTTGCTCATAAGAAGTTTTGTGAACTTTACAAGTAAGTGATTAAGATTATTAAACTGATCCTAGAAACAGATCTTCTCCTGCCTTTTCTCTCCTTTCTGTGTAACCTCCAAAATTCAATCTACCTCTTTGAACTTGTTTCTTCATCTGGAAAATTAGAAGTTTAAGCTAGATAATCTGTAAATTGCTTTTGATTGTGTAGTTGTTCTAAGATTTTAAAAGTAACTGGTTGTAGCTCAGTGGTAAAGCACTTGCCTAACATATGCAAGGACTTAGATTCCATCTCCAACACTGCAAAGCAAAAAACAACCCCCCCCATTTCCTACCTCCTCAAACATTTGATTGTTTAATTTTCTAAACTGTTATTTATATGTTTATAAACATGTTTGGTATAAAATAAATAGAATTATAATTATTACTTAGCAACTTCCTTTTTTCACTTATTAAAGTCATATTGGTGGCTAGGGTTGTGGCTCAGTGGTAGAGCACTTGCCTAGCATGTGTGAAGCACTAAATTCAATTCTCAACACTGCATATAAATAAAATTTTTAAAAAAGGCATATTGGTGATGTCTGTACATCAGTGTATATAGATACATCTCATTCTTTTTATGTGACTATTGTAAATAAGCTTCCTTTTAGCTTATTTAGTAATCTGTAATTCTATGTTTCCCAAGAACTTTGTTTCAGAAGTGCTTTTGTTTCTTATTGCTTTTCAGTCTTCATTGTGACTTAACTCAAAGCACAGACACTTATTGAATACTTTCTCTGTGCCAGGTGCTGTGTTATCATGAGTAAGCCATGTTTCTTCCCTGAAGAAGTTGCTAGTTTGTGCTTTCCATGCTCCATAGACACTGTTATGTAGGTTCAGATTCTGATCTGGGAAATACATATTTAAGTAGAACCAAGATGAAGTTCTATAATATTAATGCCCTATAATTTTTTGCCTCTAATAAGCTCAGAATTTTTACATATTGTTTTTTTTCAAAGTAGACATACCTCGATGTTTAATTCAATGTAAGCTGATAGCTTTAACTATTTCTCAAAAGGTAAATATAATAAATAGAAAATGGGAAACATCCTGGTATTAAAAACAAATGAGTTGGGGCTGGGGTTGTAGCTCAGCTGTAGAGTGTTTGCCTAGCACCTGTGAGGCACTGGGTTCAGTCCTCGGCACCACATATAAATAAATAAAATAAAGGTATTGTGTCCACTTACAACTAAAAAAAATATTTTTAGGGGCTGGGGATGTGGCTCAAGCGGTAGCATACTCTCCTGGCATGCGTGCGGCCCGGGTTCGATCCTCAGCACCACATACAAACAAAGATGTTGTACCCGCCGAAAACTAAAAAATAAATATTAAAAATTTAAAAATATATATATATTTTTTTTTAAAAAAAAAATGAGTTAATAATAACAATTGCCATGCCACTCGATATAAATTGCCATACCCAAGAACTTTTTTTTTTTTTTTTTTTTTGGCAGTACTAGGTATCAAGCACTGGGCAAGCACTATACCACCCCCTTAAGAACTTCAGAAAGCACTGGCCAGGGTTGGGGCTCAGTGGTAGAGTGCTTGCCTAGCATGTTTGAGGTACTAGCTTCAATCCTCAGCAACAAATAAAAATAAAATAAACATATTGTGTCCACCTGAAACTAAAAAAAAAAAAAGAAGAAGAAGAAGAACTTTAGAAAGCAGAATCTAAGTATAACACAGTTTCTTTGAAGATCTTACATTTTCATTCCTGCTTTTAAAGAAACACAGAGACTGCCCAAGGTGGTAGTGTGTACCTATATTCTTAGTTACTCAAGAAGCCACGACAGGAGGATCTCAAGATTAAGGCCATCGTTGGCAATTCAAATATATATAAATAAAATTATTTCTCTACTACCACTTTTTTTTTTAGTTGTAGATGGACATAATACCTTTATTTTATGTATTTATTTCCATGTGGTGCTAAGGATCAGGTAAGCACTCTGCCACTGAGCTATAGCCTCAGCCCCTTCCTCTACTTATTAAAGGTAGCACCCATTAGACCTTTATATCTAATCATATATAATATTGCTACAAACTTAGCAAAGTTTGTACATCATATATATATATATGATTTTATATGTATTGTTATGTTTTTGTTTTGTTATTACTGTGCTGGGCACTGAACTAGGGCCCTATATGTGTTTGGCAAGTGCTGTACCACTGAGCTACACCTCCAGCCTCCTAGTTTTTTTTTTTTTAGATGTTGATGGACCTTAATTTTATTCATCTGTTTATATGTGGTGCTGAGAATTGAACCCAGTGCCTCACACATGCTAGGCAAGCGTTCTACCACTAAGCCAAATCCCCAGTCCTAGTTAATTTCTTTTAAGTAAATTTTTGGAATTTTATTTTGCGAGGAGGACATATTGAGAATTAAACACAGGTCTCACACATGCTAGGCAAGCACTCTGCCGCTAAGCTATATCCCCAGTTCTAATCACGGAATTTTTTTTTTTAAGAGAACTTATTTATTTATTTATCCATTGCTTGCTTGCTTATTTATTTATTTATAAATTTATTTGTTTATTTGCTTTTTGGTTTATTTATTTATTGGTGTCAGGGATTGAATTCAGGGGCACTTGACCACTGAGCCACATCCCCAGCCCTATTTTGTATTTTATTTAGAGACAGGGTCTCACTGAGTTGCTCAGTGCCTCACTTTTGCTGAGGCTAGCTTGGAACTTGTGATCCTCGTGTCTCAGCCTCCCGAGCCGCTGGAATTACAAGCATGCACCACCTTCTTTTTGTGGGGGTGGTTATTACCAGGGATTGAACTCAGGGGCACTCAACCCCTGAGCCACATCCCCAGCCTATTTGTATTTTATTTAGAGACAGGATCTCACTGAGTTTCTTAGTGCCTCGCTGTCGCTAAGGCTGTCTTGGAACTTGCTATCTTCCTGCCTCAACCTCCCAATCCCCTGGGATTATAGGTGTCTGCCACCACGCCCAGCTGTGTATATTGATAGAACTAGATTACCAGTCTTTTTCATTCTCCCCCCACTCTTTTTTTGGTACTGCAGATTTAACCTAGGGGTGCTTAATAACTAAGTCACATCCCAAGTCCTTTTTATTTTTTGATTTTGATACAGGTACTCATTAAATTGCTGAGGCTGGCTTTTGAACTAGTAGTCCTCTAACCTCAGCCTCATGAGTTTCTGGGATTACAGACATTGTGCCACTGTGCCCAGCAATTTTCAATCTTTTTAATCTTACCAGTTTAAAAGGTGAAACATGGACAGTATTTAACTTTAAATTTGCATTTCTGTGATCACTAGAGAAATTGCACATCTTTTTCCCCCTTGTAGTCCTAGGTTTTGAACCCAGGGCTTTTTTCATGCTAAGTAGGTCCTCTGCCACTAAGCTACAACTTCAGCAGTTTACATTTTATTTATTGATTGATTAATACTGGAGATTGAACCCAAGGGTGATCTACCACTGAATTACATCCCCAGCCTTTTTTACATTTTGAATCAGGGTCCCAGAGAGTTGCCCAGGCTGTCCTTGAACTCGTGGTCCTCCTGCTTCAGCCTGCCCAAGGATTACAGGGGTGCACCACCAAACCTTCTATTGCATGTCTTTCATGAATTTAATAGGTAATTTTTACCTGATTTTTTTTACCCATTCAGTCTTTGCACTTTTTGAGTTGTATTGAAAGCCATCATCACCTTATTTGATGTAGGTATTCTCTTGAAAAATTAAATGCATATATAGAAAACAAAGTGGAATATGGGTCCAAAGAGTGTCAAAGCATCTAATTGTTTGATAAAATTTGTTTTAAATATGTATAGCTTTTTCTTTTATTGTAGGAGGAAGTAGCAGAAATAAACAACTAGCTTGCTCTGAAGATGGCCCTGCTTCCAAAAATAACACTAGAAATACCAAAAGCAATCATGTGGACCTTCCCAAATGTGACACTGGCTGTGTTGAGACCTTGTTTGGACTCAAGAACATTTTTTCCCCATCTGAAGACTTATTTTCATTTTTAAAGGTATTTTAATGTGTATTTGGAATGTTACATTTATATTCCTTGTCATCTGTAAAACAACAATTTCAGAGTAGCTGTTAAAAGACTTTTAATTATTGAATTGGTGTATATTACTAAATATTAGAACATTTAATTTCTCCAAATTAGCAGTCTAAATTTAGTTTTTAGACTCAGTTCTATTTTCATGTATTAAGTGGAATCTAATAAAATTTTAAGAGGTAAGTGACTAAGTATTTAAAGATAGAAAACACTATATTTATATCTGTAGAAAAACATTCAAACTATGTACTGTTATAACATTTCTGTATTCAAAATTGCTTTTCAGCACAAAATCACTACAAAGGAAGAATGGCATAAACTCATCCAGCTTCTTACAGAATTCCACATGCAGGATGTAGATTTTTTATATAGCAATCTTGAGTTTATTCTACCATTACCAGTTGATATCATTCCAGAATCAAAAACCATTTGTGGCTTATCAATAAATGTGGATGCCAGTGCAGCAAGGAGCATGAAGTGTCTTGCTAGGAAATGTACTGAAGGAGAGCGGCCATTGAATAAGTCACAGAAAAAGAAACATAAGAAAAAGATCGTGACACTAGATGATAGTGATTTATTTGACAATGACTTGGACTTTTCTGAATTTATTAACCTATCACCTGCATCTTCCTCAAATTTAGAAGAAAACAAGACCAGAGACAGCAGTTCAGGGACAAAGAACCTGAACAATAGTTTAGAGTCTAGCATTGAATCTATTCCTCATCCTCCTAAAACACCAGCGGGGAAAAAAAGTTCTGTCCTTGTCTCTCATTGTTTAAATTCTCTCACTGAGTTTATGGATAACATGTCCTTCTTGGATGCCCTTTTAACTGATATAAAGGAACAGAAGGAACTTGGGAAAAATGACTTTCGTTGGACAGATGGAATGGTTAAAAGTGGACTTTGTGATGAGTTTAGTCTTGAGAGTAATGATGGATGGACTTCTCAAAGCTCTAGAGAACTAAAGGCAACTGCAGAAGCTCTTACCTTTACTAAATGTTCTTCTACTATTTCAAAAGCATTGGAATCCTCCTTGAATTCTTGCAAGAAATTAGGAAGAGATCCAACCAAGGATCTTACTTTTAGTGTTTCACAAAAGCACAATAATGTATGCTTTAGTCAGTCAGCAATTGATTTAGAGTAAGTCTTCTTTTGCTTTTTATTTTTCAGATAAATGACAAAGGGGAAATAACTCATTTATTTATTCTTACTAATTTTAAAATGCTGGGCTATTGATCATGTTAAGTCATATTAATAATGTAGCTTCTGGGCTGGGGTTGTGGCTCAGTGGTGGAGTGCTCGCCTAGCCGTGTAAGGCCTTGGGTTCGATCCTCAGCATCACATAAAAATAATAAGTAAAATAAAGGTATTGTGTCCAACTACAACTAAAAATTAAATATTTTTTTAAAAAATAATAAAGTAGCTTCTAATGAAAATTAAGAAGACCAGAGTGATTTCTAAGGACGATTAGGGTGGGCTAGATTTGAAAAACCCCTAAGTGACAGGGAAACACGTTTGCCAGATAGCAGATAGCCATTAAGATTTTTAGTAAGAGCTGGGTGTGGTGGCACATACCTGTAATCCCAGTGGCTGTGGAGGCTGAGGCAAGAGGATTGCCAGTTAAAGCCAGCCTCAGCAATTTAGCAAGGGCCTAAGCAACTCAGTGAGACCCTGTCTCTAAATAAAATATTAAAAAAGGGCTGCAGATGTGGCTCAGTGGGGTTAAGTGCCCCTGAGTTCAATCCCTGGTACCAAAAAAAAAAGTAAAAATTGAAAAAAATATATATGTATATATTTTTTAGTATGTATGAGAGTAATTAATGACAAGAAATTAATCTAGAAGTATCATCCAGTATAGATCAGAGGCAGAAAAACTGGTTAAGTTTGCAATTGTTATTTTTATTGGGCATTAAAAAATTATGTATTACTTTTAATTTCCAGCAGTGCTTGGAAGAGGATATCAGTCATTAAAAGTGTGTTTTCTAGTCGATCTCTTCTGAACCTGGGTAATAGACAAGCTAGTGTAATTGAATACCTGCCAGTTCTCCGCAACATCTGTAGGATTGAGAAGCTAAAAGAACAAGGAAAAAGTAAAAGAAGGTAAAGGCTCTATAAAAAATAACATTTTAGAGAGCTATTTCAGGATTAATAAATATTCTCAAGAGGTGAAAATGTTAACTTATATTTTTCTTTGTAATTTTGACAGGTTTCTGCACTATTTTGAAGGAATTCATCTTGACATTCCAAAAGAGACTGTGAATACTTTGGCAGCTGAATTCCCTTAATATTCTCCATTAATGTCTTGTACAGATTATGTGGTCCTTTAGATGCATTTTTGTATTATGTTGATTTTCATGGAAGAGTTTATTTCTCTTAATGTACATTTAAAACAGACTATTTGTATTTTTTTATTGTGCAAATATTTAAAGTGAAAAAGTTGGATTATAAATTGTATATATGATCATAGTTTTTTTCTGCATTTTTGTATAATCTAGTTTTGCTTTGTTGATGTTGTTTTGTATGTGACTGAGCTGTTTATTGGAAGTAGAGTTCACTAAGATACTTCTCAAGATGTTTCAATACAAAACTAATCTATCATCTTTCCCTTTCCTGTTACCTGTAATCCATCCCTTTACAAGTGTCAGTGTTCTGTCAAGTTGTAAATATGAAGCACCTAAATGGTAATCTTTTTAAAATAAGTTTACACAATACAGAACATAAAATTATATATGTAATACTCAACAATTAACTTCCTAGGAAGAAAATTATGCCTCATTTTCCAAAAACATAAGAACTTCCTGGTGTTTTTATCTAGTATACTCCTTCAGCATATTTTACCATTGAATATTGACAAAGTAAAATCAACATTCTAAATTATAGTTTTCTTAAATTATTTTTAGGACCCCCACATGGGTGCTATCTTCTATATTTTGCCAACTCAAATCATTTGCTTTGTAAATTTTTCTTACATTTTATATATCTATTTTGGCCAAGCTGGGGTTCTACCATAAGGTTTCTACATAATAGCTATTTCTATTTAATGTTAAAGTTTGTTTTGTTTTTGCAGTGCCGGGGATGGAACCCAAGACCTTAGGTATGCTAGGCAAGTGGTCTACCACTGAGCTACATCCCCAGCCCGATTGTTTGATAAGGAGTCTTGCTATGTTGGCCAGGCTAGCCCAGAATTCATAGGCTCAAGCAATTGTGCTTCAGCTTCCAAACTAGCTGGTATTGTAGGCACATGCTACCATGCCCAGAAAGGTTGATTTGGCAGTGGGGAGGGAGTATATATTTTTATTTTAGTGATAAGACTTTAAAATATCCCATCACTTGAGATCATTTTGCAATTGGATAATCAGGTGTGTTTAAAATTGCTGTATCTATATTTCAAATGTTTATGTTAATATTTAGAGATTTTAGCTGATGAATTGTATTTTTAACTCAAGGATCCTCATTTTATAGTTTTTAAAAGCATAGATGCATACCTGTTTACAAATGTATATGAAGATGTTTTTACCTTATTTGTTCAACGTACCTCTTCTTGTATTGATTAGTACCGTGATCTAATTAAAGGTTAAAGACTTTACATAGTATTATGTAGGAGTTCAAGATGTATTCATCTTGGTAAATGTGTATATTTGTGGTGGGTCAGATATAGGCTGTATCCTACAGATTTATTCCTGCATAGGAGAAAATAAGGTGTTCTGAAGCACTTTTTTTAATGGTACGAAGGATTGAACCCAGGGGCACTTAACCACTGAGCCATACCCCAACCTTTTGAGACAAGGTCTCGCTGAGTTGCTGAGGCTGGCCTTGAACTTGTGATCCTCCTGACCCAGGCTTTAAACGTTTTTGGTTTTGTTTTTGTTTCATTTTTTTTTCTTTTAGCTGTAGATGGACACAATACCTTTATTTATCTATTTTTATATGGTGCTGAGGATCGAATCCAGCACCCCATGCCTGCTAGGCAAGTGCTCCACCAGTGAGCCACAACCCCAGCCCTCTACAAAGCTTTTAAGTGCACTCACTTATCCATTTTTTTTCTACTGAGTTCCGTCATTAGACCACTTACCTGATAATTTTTTTATTAGAAAGTGATAATTCTCAACAATTGATGAACCAAAGTAGAGTAACTCCATAGGAACTACATTTAAGTCATCCAAAATAAAGAAATAAATGGGAATATTTTCCTCCCTATTAGGGAAATGGTTTATTTATTTATTTAATGGTGGTAGGGATGAAACCCAGGGCCTCATACGTGCTAGGCAAGTGCTCTAGCACTGAGCTACGTCCCCAGCCCCTTTCTTAAAACTAATAAATTCCTCTATGATTTAGATTCACTTTTGTGATAAAAGTAATCAAATTTTGATGACTTTTCAATACTTTGCATATTATCCTATGAATGTCTAAAGCTGACGTTTTCACTTATACTTATTTCCAGAAACATGTGGGAGAAGAATGCCACATTTGTGGCATGAACAACTGTGTACATTGTAAAACTATTTGCTAGTAGAAAACAGCGTCAAGGGTGATGATTTGAAAGAAGAGAGACTGATCTTAGTGAGTCACGTTTAGTTTATGTGCCTACATTTCTAAGGGGAGATGTGTAAGTACATAATCACAAACATAAATGTGGAGACTTACATGTGACTGGCAAGAGTATACACGACTCCAGGCAGCTGGAGGTGCTGATGAGGCAGGACTTCTACTTCTTTATTTATTTATACACATACTTTTAATTATTTGAAATTTTTTCCCAAGAAGCATATTTCACTTTTTATCCCCCAGTATTAGGGATTAAACCCAAGGGTGCTTTACCACTAAGCTACATCCCCAACCTCTTGTTTTGAGATAGGGTTTCACTAAGTTAGGCCAGATAGGCTGGCCTTGAACTTGCAGTCTTCCTGCCTTACCCTCTCAATTAGCAGAATTATAGCTGCATACCACTGTGCCTGGCTGGGTTATTACATCTGAGCTGATTAAAACTGCAGACAGTATGCCAAACCATATTTTTCCTAGAGAATGAGGAGTCTAAAAATTTTGTTGTCAGTTGTCTTAAGCTTTATTCTCATAAGTCACCAATAAGAACTAATTTTTCCCTATTTTTTAACAACATAATAATGCAAATCCTCAATATAGATGGTATCTACTTGATAAAAGCAGAAAACTTTGTTTTTCTTTTAGCTGGGCAGGGCATTTTATTGACGCCGAATCCCAAAAGGCACAGAATCTCAAAATATTTATTGATCTAGTCTTGGCTTATTATTGTGTATACCATTTCATAGCTGAAAGTCAGACATTAAACATCTAAAACATACTCAAAATGTGTTTTATTCTCCATTAACATGGTTGTTCAGAACAGCTGATTTTATAATTAGAATAAATATATATAATACAACAGAGCAGGTACATTCATCTCAGAATTCTAAGACTCGGTGTCAAAAACCGCTAACTCATAGAAAGCAATAGCTTGTAACAATGAATCATATAACTCTTCTCTTCTGTGTGAATCAGGTGGGTCAGCAGATGAAAACATTTGTCGATAGTGTACCACTCTGTCTGGTGGAAAGAACACCCGAGGCTTCGCCTTCAGTACAGATTCAGAGAGGAACTGCTTCACTAGTTCTTTCCCACTAGTCCGAGTGTCGCCAATCATCAGTTTAAAGTGCTTCCCAACTGCATTCCGATTCATGCTCAGCACATGATGCTGGCCATCCTGGGTGAAAGTTTTATTTAATAAGGCATACAGCATGGCTTCTATGATGTGAAAATGTAACAGTACAGGAAACAGAGATGAGTTCTGAATGGAAAGTCCTGTTTTTTCCAGAACATAGAAATCTGCTTTAGGCATTTTTGAAATGACTGAAGAAATCTTTATTTAAAAAAAAAAAAGACAAAATAAGTAAGCAGAAATAATTCATTTAGTTTCATATTTAGTCCCATTTCTATCTTCAAATATTCTAATTAGGTAACTTATATAATATTACTGTTGACAATTTTGAAATAAGAGAAAAAGCATTTATGGGTAGTCCAAGCTCTGGTCATGATTTTTTTTTTTTTTTTTTGGTAGTTATAGATGGACAGGTGCCTTTATTTTATTTTTTATTATTATTTTTTTAATATTTATTTTTTAGTTCTCGGCGGACACAGCATTCTTGTTTGCATGTCTTGTTTGCATGTGGTGCTGAGGATCGAACCCGGGCCGCACGCATGCCAGGCGAGCGCGCTACCGCTTGAGCCACATCCCCAGCCCTGGTCATGATTTTTTCAGGAACAGGCTGAGCTAAGAAAATGTTTAGTTCTCAGTACCAGTTTCTTCATCTGTAAAATAGGCTTCATAATTTCTAAAAACCAATAGGGACTTAATTTTAGACAATTTGCTGGGCAGACACCTGTAATACCAGCTATTCAGAAGGAGGAGGATCAAATTCAAGGCTAGCCTGGCAATTTAGACCCTGTCTCAAGATAAAAAATAAAAAGGTGGGGGTACAGCTAGTGGCAGAACACCCGAGTTTCAATTCCCAGTACCAAAAAAAGACAAAGATTACCCAACTCAGAACTTTTATGAACCATTTAAAATTTTCTATGACAGGGACTGGGGTTGTGGCTCAGCAGTAGAGCGGCTCATCTAGCACATATGAGGCCTTGGGTTTGATCCTCAGCACCACATTAAAAAAAATAAAGGTATTACATCCTACAACTAATAAAAATTTTTCCTAGGGCTGGGGATGTGGCTCAAGTGGTAACGCACTTGCCTGGCATACACGGAGCACTGGTTCGATCCTTAGCACCACATAAAAATAAAAAATAAAGATGTTGTGTCCAAAAAAACTGAAAAAATAAATATTTAAAAATTATCTCTCTCCTCTCTCTTAAAAAATAAAAAAAAAAAAATTTATTACGACAGCCAGGTTCGTAGTGCACACCTATAATCCCAGTGGCTCGGGAGGCTTAGGCAGGAGGATCACAAGTTCAAAACCAGCCTCTGCATGGGCTGGGGTTATAACGCAGTGGTAGAGTGCTTGCCTAGCACATGTGAGGCAATGGGTTCAATCCTTAACACTACAGAAGAATAAACAAAGGCCCTGTGCCCATCTACAACTAAAAGTATTAAAAACAAAAAACAGGATCTGCCGCAGTCTGGCTGGGCACACAATCACGAGCCACCACACAGCTTGTAGATTCAAACAGCAACTCTTTATTCCCGAACTCACACCAGCCGTCTACAATCACGTTCTGGGGAAATCCACGTTCTCTGCCCAAATCCACCTCCACTGGGCTTCTATCTCCAAAATATACTGTCTGAATCCCGTGAGAACTCAAGGGGAACTCAGGCAGCAGGATACGCCCTATTCCCAGCAGGAATAATCTTAAACCTTAAACCTGGAACCTAAACTGGGAACGCCCTAAACACGATTATCTTAAAACCGGGAACACCCTAATCTGCCTTGGTCCTTGAGCAAGGTCACCTACATTCAATGTCACTGCAACATGTCAGCAACATGGGGTACGCTGGCAAGGAAATTGTCATACCTACTTGGCTAATGGCTCCCAGCAAGGATCCTGTCTCAAAAAATAAAAAGGGCTGGGATGTGGTTCAGTGTTTAAGCACCTCTGGATTCAATCCTCCAGTATCCAAAAAATAATAATAATCTAGGGCAGAGTATAGGATTTTTTTTGGGGGGGGGGCGGGGGTCAGGGATATCAGGGATTGAACTAAGGAGCACTCGACCACTGAGCCACATCCCCAGCCCTATTTTGTGTTTTATTTAGAGACAGGGTCTCACTGAGTTGCTTAGTGCCTCGCTGTTGCTGAGGCTGGCTTTGAACTTGAGATCCTCCTGCTTCAGCCTCCCAAGCTTCTGGGATTACAGGTGTGCCCCAGTGTACCCACCTAGAGCATAGGATTTTAACAACTAACCAAGAATTAATAACCTCTGCAAATGACTGAACAGCAGTTTTCACGTGTATAATCAAGACAGTAATTCCCAACCATTTCAAAAGATTTTGAAGACTTAAATGAAACAAGTGATAGCATTTTGAAAATAAGCTATGAATACAAGATAGTGAAGTTTTTTTATAACATGCAGAATATATAAAGGACACTATATATAGTGTCCTTTATATATTTACTATTGATTTTCTCAATATCTGCCTTTGATACCTAAGACATTTCTTGAACTAATCAAAAGTGACAAAAACAATAGGAGTGGGTAAGTAATAAGTATCACAAAAAAATAACCAATATCATTATTTTATTACATTCTCTTTGGGAGCAGAAGATTAAAAACTACAAAGAAGCCATGCAGGCATACACAAGAAGCTACACAGTAACAGGAACGTGGAGATGCAGCAGCCTTACCTCTTTTAAATAGAGTGATGATGGGTAGGTTCTATTCACTAATTTCCAATAGTCAATTTGCTGCCAGTCCAGCACTGTCAATTTTCGATCAAGGAGAGCCCAGGCAATTCTTTGAGTACCAAAAACAATAGATAAAATACTATTGGCTGCCTAAAAGAAAAGAGCTGATTTAATTATAAGTGTAATAAACTTTTTTTTTCTTTTTTGCAGTACCAGGGATTGAACCCAGGG